GTTCTGCTGGCTTTCTGCAGGATCTATTGTGATACCAGTCTTTTAATTCCTAATTCATGGATTTGAGTCTTTTTTTTTGATAAGGTTGTCTAAGGATTTATATAATCTTTCAAAAAGCAATCTTCAATTTGATTCTTTATATTGTTTTCTTAGTTTCAATTGCATTAATTTATGCCCTATATAATTGCCTCCCTTGTATGAGCTTTATACTTGAGCTATTGTTCTGTTTCTAGGAGTTTGAGGTTCAACGTAAAGTTGTTTATATTTGAGCTTGCTCTGTTTTCCTGATATGGGCATTCACTGATATAAATTCCCCTCATAGGACTCCTTTGTTTCTCTCTATAAGTTCTTGTATGTTGTTTTGACATTGTCTTTTAATTGTAGAAACTGTCTAATTTTTTCTTTAATTTCATCTATGATCCATTGGTTGTTCAGGAGGGTGTTATTTAATTTCCATGTGTTTGTGAAGTTTTTGTGGTTTCTTTTGCCATCAATGTCTAATTTCATTGCATTATGGTCTGGTAATACACATGTGATAATTTCATTGCCTTTGCATTTACTTAAGCATGTTTTATGAGCTAGTTTATGGTCTATACAGTTGAGTCTATACAGTTGAGAAGAACGTATATTTTGATGTTGTGGGGTAGAACACTGCAGACATCTGCTAAGTGCATTTGTTCACAGGTTTGGTTTGGTTTTAATATTTCTTTTGTTTGTCTAGTTGGTCTGTCTGTTTGTAACAGTGCAGTTTGAAGTCCCCCATTATAACTGTGTTAACCTTATTTGATTTTTCATGTGTTAATGTTTTTTTTTTTTTGTCTTTTTCGTTTTTACCGGTGCCAGGGATTGAACTCACGATTGCCTGCTTGCAAGGCAGGCGCTTATGCCACTGAGCTAAATCCCCAGCCCCTCATGTGTTAATGTTTGTTTTTTATAGTTGTGTACAATGGTATTTGGTGCAAAAATATTTCTGACTCTTAATCTCTCTCTTTTGGAGTTTTCCCTTCACAAGTATGCAGTGACTGTCTTTGTCTCTTTGGGTCAGTCTTGGCTTCAAGTTCACTTTGCATGAAAATAAAAGATCTACCCCTGCTTTTTTCCATGTTCCTGTTGCATAAAGTATTGCTTTCCAGCCCTTTGATTTTCAGTTTATGAATTTCTTTTTGAATTACATGTTTTTTATGTAGCATATTGTTGGATCTTGCTCTTTGATCTATTCTGCCTTTCTCTTTTGATTGTTGAACCGAGACCTTTTACATTGATGGTTGTAACTGATATGCACTGGCTTATTCTTGTTTTCTTGTCATTGGCTTCTTTTTTCCTCATCTGTTTTCTTGCTTATCTTGTCTGGTAGATTCTCTGTATTGGTGTTCTTGGGGTTGTAGTCTTTATCTCTTTTAAAAACATCCTTCAGAACTTGTTGGAATGCTGGTTTGGTGGCCATGAATGTTTTCAGTTCTTTGTCATGTAAGTATCTTATTTCTCCATTAGTTTTGAAAGATGGTTTTTCAGGGTGCATCAGTCTGGGTTGGAAGTTGCTTACCTTCAGTACTGGAAATACTTCACTCCAAATTCTCCTTTGTTTTAGGGTTTGTGTTGAGAAGTCTTTGTCTGATGGACTTTCCTTTTGTCTATCATCTTTTAATATTCTGTTCTTGTTCTGAATATCTTAAATCTAGATTATTATATGCCTTGCTGTAGATTTGTCTTGATCATGGCTATAATTGGAGTTTTATATGTCTCACCTATCTGCTTGTCAAAATCCTTTTCCATGCTTGGATATTTTTCTGCCATTGCTTCTGTGAATAGGTTTTTAAAAATTGTTTTTGGTTTTGTCTTCTGCTTTTTCATTGACTATGATCAATCTTATGTTGTCCTTTTTGCATCATTTTGCAGTGTTTGGAATGATTTCTCATGACCCCTTGTTATTTTTAAAGTTCTTTTTGCTACTGAATATCAAACTCACGACCTCATGATTGCCAGACAAGCACTATGCTTCTGAGCTCTATCCTCAGCCCCAGAAATCTTTCTTTGTGTGACTGCTAACTGCCGTCCAGTCTTAAAGGTCTGATATTGCAGCCTCACCTTTATTCTTTCAACTGCATATAATTTCAATGAAATTTTTAATCTTCTTAATACATTTGAATCTCTTTCATGGATTCCCCTTTTTTCCTATGTTGGACATTATGATTTCTATCATTTTCCTAAGATCCTTTATATTTTTATCTTTGTCTACTCTAGGTGTCATGAAGAAGTTATTTGACAATCATCATCTCTCTGTCTTTTTTTACATGAGAGATCATTTCTGAGAGACTTTGCAGTTTATTTTGATTCTTAAATTTTTCTTTGTAGGAAGGATTTTAACTGAATTATACTTTTAAAAATAAATCTCTTTAGGCTATTTGTTTCTTCTAAAGTAAATGTTGGTTCTTTTAAGAAATTTATCCATAAATTATGAAATTTATTTATAATATTTGCTTATTTTTAAAATTATATTTTGAATCTATGGCTTAATTTGATTTTTTCTTTTGTAGTTCTTGTATTAAATCATTGATTTAATAGATTTTCTTTTCTAACAATTTAATGAGGACTGGGGATATATAGCTCAGTGGCACAGTGTCTGCCTGGCAAGTACAAAGTTGTGAGTTCTCTATGCACTTTGTAAGCTGCATCTCACAAATTTCAACACTTTATTTTTTCATTTAATTATAATTATCTTCTAACATGGTGGGAATTTACACTACTTCTCTTGATTGCTTTCCTACTTCCTGGTTGGTTTTTTTTTTTGCTTATTATTTTTAATTGAATGTCAGACTTCTTGTATTGAAATGGAGAGGCCAAACTAAATAGTACTAAATAGTACTTGTAGGTGCCATGGCTCTTCTCATGGAGACACATCTAGATATCCTGTCTTTCCAAGGGCTCTTTCTCCTTAGATATCAGACTGCTTGAATGCATTGTGACCTTCTCCTAGGTTGGATTCAAGGAAAGTTGTAATTAGCCTCTGCTTATCGTTAGTGTGGCCGTGGCATTCTTTTCAACTTTAGGGATCTCTTAAGTTTTTCTAGTTAGAGTTATGTACAATAAAATTCATTTTATTTCTGTAATTTCATCTTATTTCCATATTGAGTATTCAGTCATTCTTTTTTGTGTGTGAATATCTGTGAATGAAATGTTTCCAGTGTGGTAAAAATTATTTGGAGTAAGAGTTAACTACATATTTTTCTATTTTTTAATTTTTTGAGTCAGAGTCTTGCCATGTACTTCAGGCTGGCCTTAAACTCATTATGTAGTCCAGGCTGGCCTGGAACTCACAGTGATCCTTCTGCCTCAGCCTCCCAAGTGTTAGGATTACAGGGAAGCACCACTGTGCCTGGTAATTGCCTGCTTATTGGTGTTAGTTTTTCTTTAGAAGATTATTTGTTCAGGGTACTTTTTGAGGATTAATGTTAGAGATATCCATATTGATATGAATCCCAGTAGGGTATTCATATACTCAAAAAATAAATTGTTTATTTTCATATATTGATGTTTGTCTTATGTTGAAGCATTGAGACATTTATTGTTGTATTAAGTGTCATCTGTACTTCACAAATTTAGAAACAGAAAGAAAGGGCATTTGTTTAAAACTTTGTAAAACTTCGTAGACCCTATTTTGAGTCTTCTTTAGCTTTACTGACCTTTTCAGGTTCCCAAGACTTAGGCTAATAGAATGAAGACCTTTGGGGCTGATTGCTCCCTCTTTCTGGAAGATATACTTCTGGAGCCTATCCTTAGAGTTACGTGAATCTGTTGTATATGTGATGTGTGTGTCAACCTGTGTATACTTCTAAAACCAGAAGTATTGTGTACTCCTGTAATAGCGTTTGGAGTTTTTACAAGCTTTTTTAGGGTGGCTCGGACTTCACCAAAAAGGTTAAGAACTTGCTCTATACTCTGAGGTATATATAAACATATAATACAGCCCTTGTTCTTAGGAGCTTGAAGTTTTGTTGATCTCTCCCTTATCTATGACAGGCTAATAAGAGGGCAGTATGGTATAGTGGTGATGAACTCTTTACAATTAAACTTGGCCTTAATTCTGATTCACTCATTTCTAGCTTTGCTATCTTGGTAACCCACAGTAGCCATATCTTTTTATGTTGTGATTAGGTTTAAATTAGAAAATTCCCATAAAATAATTTGGCAGATTATGACTCGTTGGCTCAGATTGATAAACACAGTAATAGAAAGAAAAGTTACTCAATTTTCTTTATATGTTTTCATTTTAAAATTTTCTGTTTCTGTTGTAGTAAAATATACACAACCTAGCTTTTACCATTTTAACTATTTTAGGTGTATAATTCAGTAGCAGTAAGTATATTCACAGTGTTGTGCAGCCATTATCACTGTTCATCTTCTGGACTTACTGTCTCAAATAAGACTGCACTCCAGCTCTTCATCCCTCCCTTTTCCCTGGCCCTCAGTAACCTCTGTTTTATTTTGTACCTTTATGAATTTGCCTAGTTTAGCTACAACTTTTAAGTGGAATCATATGATTTCTTTTTCTGTGTTTTGCTTATTTAGTGTTTTTTAAAATTTTATTTTAAAGAAAATAAAACTAAGTTAAATAAAACAGGACAAAGCAATCAAAACAAGCCAATATAAGGGCTTCAAAACAATTTTTTTTTTACAAATATATATATAAAACATAGTATCACTTGTGATTTCTGTTTTATTCAGTTACTGCTCATAATCAAATGTGATAGTTAAGACTTAATACATGCATGTATAAATTTAAGATGGTATCTATAAAATCTGGTAAATATTACATAAAAGCAGTAAATTCTTTTTGCCTACTTATGATTATAAATTATAATGTTAAAAATTATTTGTATTGCATAGAAATGCTAGAGATGTTCTTAAATTCAAATATAAGACCTGTAGAATACTTGCTAGTGTGTAAACTATTTTAAACACCTCATTTCACTTGAAGTTCACTGTATTTCTTTGTCTTTTAGAATTCAAATTCTCGGGTAGATTTGACCAATCAGTTAACTGATGATGATATTAATGAAATAATTCAAGTAGATGGTACTGTTGATACATCTTCTAATGAAGAAATAGGAAATATAAAGGATTCAGAAGAGAATGAATTTCTAGAAATTATCGATGCAGGAGAGCTAAAGGTGCTTGAAGAAGAAGCGGACAGTATATCAAATGAAGATTCAACCGCAAACAGTAGTGACAATGAAGGCTCTCAAGCAGACATTGTGGAAGAGGTGAGGACCACTTTTGAGCTGAGACTTTATTAACTCATAACCTTTGTGCTTCACTGTACTTGGGAATCAGGAAAATAACAATGAAGATTAACCCTACCTTCAGTCTTTGAAAACGAAGCTTAACTCTGTGTGGGACTTAAACATTCAAACCTGGTACACTTTAAGCCATTATTCCATACTTAGGAATTGGCTTCTAAGAGATAGTGGGAGGTTTGGGGATAGGAGTGGGGTTAAAGGTGATCAACATAGAACATACAGTATCTGTTCTAATAAGTCCAGTAAAATCTGGATGGACTTTGGTTAAAAATGTGCGAACATGTTTACATACCACATTGTTCTCTGGCCTGAGAAACTGAAAGTATAGGTAAGGACCAAAATGTATAATATAATCGATTTTGGGAAGTAGGAAGAGGAAGTTCAGATGGGAAGGGGGGCAAGGATGGAGTGAGGGTGAAAGGAAGGGGAGAGGACAAGAAAAAGGAATAGAAGGAAAAAATGGAAACAGAACCTTTGCAAACAAGGCAGGGAAGAGGGCTTAAAGGGAGGGGAGGGGAATAGGTAAAGAAGAAACAAGGTAGCTCATGTTATGCTTCAGATTCCCTGTGATGAGTGTGGTCATTCATATATATATATATAATGGATCAGTAGAATAAAAAATAAGATTGGGGCTTAAATATAGGAAAAAAGAAGTAGTATGTGAAAGTATTAACTACCTTTTATAGTGGCCACATGAAGTTCTCACTTGCCTTCTTACTGAGTAGCACTAGTGTCCTCTAGGTCTTCTACTGTCCTTATTCTATGGATTAGACACTGAGATGTGGAGCATTAGTAAGTTGCCCAAGGTCATTCATGTAACTGTCAAGTGGCAGAGCTAGGATTCTGACCGGGGCTATTTGACTGTGCAGTGTACTGCTCTCCTGCCTTTTCAAGTCATTTACTTCTGCATGTCTCCCTATCTTTAAAAAGTCTGGAGCCTCATGAATCCTTTAATGTGCGCATCTTTTATCTTTAGGACCCTTTAAATTCTGGAGATGATGTGAGCGAGCAGGATGTGCCAGACCTGTTTGACACGGATAATGTAATTGTCTGTCAGTATGATAAGGTACTATATTTACTTTTTGGACTTTGGGTTTATTAATTGCATTTATAGTAGGATGTATGTAAAATGATGGAGAATATTATGGCAAGTTATAATTCACAGTTAAATGAATTGTGTAACAGCTATTTAACTCTGTATAGTTTTGACAGTGTGGTGTTTTGAGCCTAGAACTGTGTTGTTTGGTCTCAGTGGTACTGAAAATATGATAGTCCTTGTTTTAAGGGGGTGACGATCATATTGAAACAAGATATTTCTTATGGAATAATAGAATGACACAGAGTAAGATGGCAGACAGATTAGAAGCAAAAACATATGACAAATAAATCAAATGCTAAGATAAGTGGCAGAAAGTGACTCTTAAAAGTGGCTAAAAGTACCAGAACTCATTTGCATTTTGAGTTCTTCACAAATCCTTCATCAATGATGTGGGACTATGGAATGGGCTTGAGTGATTTGGGAGTTACAGGTTATTGAGGGCAGCCACTCAGAATAGAATAGCCTGATGAAAGGCAGAACAAGGGATAGATGTAGGATATAAGAGGGGCAGTGCAGAGACAGCGCTGGACAGTAAGTGTCCTCTCGCTGCGTGTGCTAGGAAATGAAGCAGGTTCCGTGACCAAGGATGGGGGAGACTGGGGTATCCTGAACGCAAGTAGGGGAAATTAAACTTGGTCTGAAGGACATTGGCCTCCTGCAAATGTCGTTGAGAAAATTGTAACTGAACTTAAAAGTTGGCCACGTTTAATGATTTAGAAGAGGCAAATAGTAAAAAAAAGCAGGGGTAGTGAAGACATGAAGTGACCAGAACCCAGGCTGAACAGTCAGTGTAAAAATGAAAAGTCAGAGGTTGTGATGGAAGATTCAGTGGGGTTGTTGATCAGGTGAAGGTGTCTCTCAGGTTTTAAGCTTAGAAATTAAGTTAGCAGCAATTTAATTTGGCAACTAAAAAAAAACCCCAACAAAACAAAAAGCTTTTTATTCCTCAGTTGTCAGTGTTGATGTATACCTGTAGTCTGAGACAGGAAGTTCTCAAGTTTGAGGTCATCCTGGGAATTAAGAAAGCCCTTGTCTCAAAATAATAGACAGGGCTTGGCATGTAACTCATTTTGAGTCCTTGGGTTTAATCCCCAGTATTATATAACAAACAAAAATACCAAACAAATCCAACAAAATAACAGCAATAAAAGCCCCTCTAGCTGTGATTATGTATAGAATGATGAATTTTTGTTTTTAATTTATGAATACTTGCATATTTAGAAAACAAACTAGAAATATTGTCATAATGTATAACTCACCTGTTTACAGCATGTGGCTCATTGGCCTTTTACTATGTTCCTGTGTGCAACAGTTACCACAGATATACTGGAATCTGTCACCTCAAAAAGAAACCCCATAACTCTAGTTCTCAATCTGGCCTAAGGAACCATTCATATACTTTCTATTTCTATGGATTTCCCTATTCTGCATTTCCTATGAAGGAACCTTGTAATACATGGACTTGTGACTGGCTTCTTTTACTTACCACGGTGTTTTCAAGATTCAGCTGTGTGCTGTGTGTGTCAAGACTCATTTCTTTTTATTGCTATTGAATGGATTTATTGCGTTTTATTTGTCTGTTGATGGATCTTTGGTTTTTTTTCCACCATAGTGAGGTTTTTTCCTCATCCATCACTGTGTTCTAGCTGAGACCTTATAATAATAACAAACATATTAACCAGAGAAACACATACAAAATTATTTAAGATAAATTTTATATGGCAAAGGAACTGTTAGAAATGACATGAAGCAACCTGAGAAACTTTTTCCGGGTAACTGTGCAGAAGTATGATTAGAAGAAAAAGGAATGTGATAGATGGTAGCAAACAGAGGGGAACTGAGTAGGGCCTGTAGCTTAGATTCTTTTTTGTGTCCCAGAGTCTTTGGAGGTAGATATGCTTCTTCTTTGGGTCTAGAATGGGGACATCTGTATGAAGAATCTTAGGACCCCCTTTAGAGGAAGGTCAGGGAACTCTTTTTATGGCCTGCCTTAGAGGAGAATGGTAATAGGAGGGTCAGAGATTTTCCTGCTTCTGCTGTTCTCTCAAATGCCAAGGGGCCATTTTGGGGTCCTGGGTCCTGACTCTCCTCACCACTTTTTGGCTATCATGAGTAATGCTACTCTAAACATGAAGGCACAAGTTTTTATGGGCACATGTTTCTGTCTGTCTTGGTATACACCTAAGGGTTAAATTTCTTGGTCATATGGTACTAGTTTTAGGAGCTACTAGAGTATTTTCCAAAGTGACTGCTATTTTCCACTCTTGCCAGCTGTGTTGGGGGTTTCACTTCTCTGCATTCTTGACAATACTTGTTATGTAACCTTCTGATCCTGCACATCCACTTGGGTGTAAAGTGATATCTTACTGAAGTTTTGCTTTTCATTTTCCTGATGACTAATAAGATACTTGTACTTCGGTCAAAGATTTGAATTTGAATATACCTACAGGAAACAAAGAATAGTTTTAAATTGCTGTAAAAATAAATCCCTTTCTTGAATAATAAGATCCTTTTCTCTCCTATAATACATTATACAGACGAAAAATGACACTTTACTGGTAGGTGTTGGTAAATAAAAACATATGATGGAGTAAGAAACATAAACAGTTCTTAGTTTGAAACTTGCTCTAGTTTTTTATAAATATTGTGTTGCCTTCTACAGAAAAAATACTGTAAGGTACATAAGTATGTATGTATTATAAGTCTCACAAGAATTTTCTAGAACATTATGGATATAGTATTCTTTGTTTGCTGCATCGTGGGTGTGAAATTGTAATTAATTACAAAGTGCTATGTATTCCCAGTGTATTTTTCCTCTCGTTACAATAATTTTGTGGGGCAGACAGAAGTGATCTTAGTTGAATAGTGTTAAAAAAATCTAGCTGTCTGAGAGTACTTTCTTAATTAGTGATTTTAACAACAGTACTAAAAAATTAATGGAAACCAAGGCATTGGGGAATCATTGAAATCTTTCTGAAAGGGAATGATGCTGTTAGAAGATAGTAGCGAAGAGAATGTGTCCAAAAGGTCAGAATGGGGTGGGGAGCACTGTTACAGTGAATTTTATAGAGGAAAAACTTGCCAGTTCTGGTCATTGGTTGATTTACTTAGAAGGATATTGAATAGAATCAAGTTGGGGTAAACTGAAAGGATTCTCAGTAGTCTTTTTAGAGGCCAGCAGCATCAGTTCTCCTGGGTAAGTGTTATAGTCACAGAATCTTGAATCCCACTCTCGAGTCCCTGATCAGAAAGCACATTTTAACAAGATTTTAAGTTGTTGATTTGTATGCTTATTAAACTTGGAGAAACACTGGTTTTTGAAAAAAAGTTTACTTTGATGAACCTATATACTTTACCTTTTAAAATTTATAAGTTAATACTTGGAGAAAAACTAAAAATATTAACATGTTCAGTGAAAAAGGGCTAAATGGAGGCTTTGTCTATATGCTGGGTGAGATTAAGTGGTATGGATATATTATTTCAGAGACCTAGAAAATATTTAAGATTAATATAAAGATTAAAGTGACGAGAATATTAGAAGGAAAGTTAATGGTGAAATGAAATCTTTTACTAGCATAGAGAGCATTCTATGCTATGAGTAATACACTATTTACACTGAGAAGTGCATCAGTTGAGTAGTATCTTCATCTAACAGTTTAGTAAACGTGGTTGTACTTTGCTTTGTCCATTAGATGCTAGCATTGTGATTATTTGCCTGGTATACAGCCTAGTGTCTTTCTCTCTCTGTGTGTATGCATGTGTTGGTTTATACACACATGGTTAAAAAGGTCAAAACGTGATCAAGTATTCAGTGCTTGGGCGGTGGTAGAAAATAGGAGTGTGGCCTAGTAGGCCATTGGGAATGTGCTTTTGAAGGGTGTATTTTGTCCTGACTGCTTGTGTTTCTTTGCCTCCTGGTCACTCTGAGGTAAGCAGTTTGCTCATTCAGGTACTTTCTGCCATGATATTCTGCCTTGCCACAAGCCCACAGAAAATAGTGTCAAGTGAGAATGGACTGAGAGCTTGGAAACTGTTGGCCAAAATGATCTTTTCTCTTTTCAGTGTTTTCTCTCAGGTAGTTTGTTACAGCAATGGAAAACTGGTGAACGTAGAGGAGAAATGAGGGCTCTTGCAGGACACTGTAAGGACTGGCTTTTAAATAAGTCATCGGTTAGTTTTGATCAAAGAAATGACATCTAATTTATGTTTTTAACAGAACTACACTGGCTGTTGTGGTTCTAAAGGACTAAAAGTTGGGGGACAAGGGTAAAAATGGGACAACTAGTTAAGGGGCTATTGTTATCTAGGCAAGAAAAGATGGTGACTTAGACAAGAGCAATAGAAGTGGCGGTGGTAGAAATGGTTGGAATGTGAGTAAGTGTTACAGTAGAATGGATGTTTACTGATGGGTCTGGATCATGGAGGTATAAGTTATGTCTAACATATTTTGATCTGAGCACTAAGAGGAGTGACTGGCCCTTTGCCACTTGGATGGCAAAGACTGTAAGGTATAAGGAAGAGGAGATCCTGGTTCTGTGTTTCCTTCAGATGACTGTTTGATGTCCAGGAGGAGATGCTGAAGTAGCTGAAGGAGTACATTTAAGGGAAGAGGTGTGAACTGGAGGTACAGTGTAATTGCCATAGATCACCGAGAGTGTGTATAAGAAGAAACAAGAGTTCTGGTGTATTCTAAACTAGAGAGGCCTGAGAGATGAGGAGGCTCAGTAAGTGAGACTAGAGAGTAGCTAGAGAACTATGTGAAAAACCAGTGTTCTGAAAGTCAAATGGAGAAATTATTCAAAGAAGTAAGAGTATTGAACACTGATAGTAGGTCACATATTGCTCAAGTTTACTCCTAGCTATTTTCTTTTTTTTTTGGTTTCTGTGAGAAACGGGCTTTTTATATTTCCTGTTGCTTGATGAAGACTATGAATTTCTATGTATTAGTTTTGAAAGCCTTTTTTTTTTTTTTTTTTTTTTTTTTTTTTTTGGTACTGGGGATTGAACTCACGACCTTGAGTTTGCCAAGCAGGTTCTTACACAATCAATAGAAATTAAGGAAGAAATTAAGGAAGAAATTAAATGGTTCTAAGAATTAAATGATGATGCCAGTACTACATACTAAAATTTATGGGACATAATGAAAGCTGTAAGCAGGGAACTCACAGCTATGAGTACCTACATGGGGGCGGGGGAATGCACCAAAATAAATAGCCTGACACAGCTAAACTTACTAGACAAACAAGAACAATCCAATTCAAATCAGTATAAAGAAGGAAATTATAAAGATCAAAGATTAAATCAATGAGATGGAGCCTAAATATATAATACAAAGAATCAACGAATCAAAGAACTAGTTCTTTGAAAGAAAAAACAAAATAGACGAGCCTGTCTTAACAGAAAAGGAAAGGAGACACCAGTCAATGGAATGAGAAATGAAAAAGGCAAAATCACAGTAAATACCGCCAAAATCCAGAAGATTATTAGAAATAATTTACAAGCCTATATGCAAAAAATTAGAGAAAGTGGAAGAAAGGGAGTGTTCCTAGATACATATGAGTCACCAAAACTGAAGCAAGAAGACTTGGATATCCAGAACAAACCATAACAGGCCCTAAGCAGGAAGCTGGAATTGAAGCATCAGTAACAAAAACCTATCAACTAAGAAAAGCTTAGGCTCTGACGGAACCATTGCCACATTCTATAATAACCACAGGTAATATCTAACACCAGAACTCTCAAACCCTTTCACAAAATTGAAAGAGAAGGAGTATTCCCAAAGTCATCCTGGAATCTAACATTACCCTGATTCCCAACCAGGTAAGAGAGAACAAACTAGACCAAAAGAGCTATAGGCCAATCTGTCTAATGAACATAGATGCAAAAATTCTCAATAAAATAGCAGCAAACAGTGCCACAAATCATCCAAAAGATCATATACCATAAACAAGTAGGCTTCATCTGACAGATGCAAGGATGGTTCACCATATGCAAATCAATATATGTAATGCATCACATAAACAGAAGCATGGGTAAAAATTATAAGATCATCGCCAATGGATGCAAAAAAACCTTTGGCAAAATCCAACAATGATTCATAGTAAAAACTCTGAAGAAAATGGATACAGTCTGATAAAAGCCATTCATAACAAACCTGTTGCCAACATCATTCTAAATGGGGGGAACTAAATCTTTCCCTTTTAAAATTAAGGTGATAAGGGTATCCACCATCACCACTGCTGCTCAGCACAATCTAGAGCAGTCAGATAAAAGAAAGAAATGAGAGATACATAGAGGAAAATAAGTCAGAGTATCATTTTTTTTGCAGGTGACATGATCCTCTACATAGAAAACCCCCAAAATTGCACCAAAACACTGCTAGAATTAATCAAATTTAGCAACCTAGAAGGATACAAAATCAACACACACACACACACACACACACACACAAATCAACACACAAACATCAATAGTATTCCTGTATACTGATAATGAACTCACTGAGAAAGAGATTAGGAAAACAATACCATCCACAGTAACTTCAAAAAATTATTTAAGGAATTAATCTAATCAAGGAAGTGAAAAATTTTTATACAAAAATTATAATACTGTTTCTTAGTTACTTTTCTCTCATTTCTGGGACAAAATACCTGACACCCAAAGTTAGAGGAGGAAAGGTTTATTTAGCTCATAATTTGCAGAGGTTTCAGTCCATAATCAGTTGACTTCAAGGCAAGGTGCATGGCAGAAGGGCCGCATTGCGTAGTGGAGGAAGATACCAAAGGCAACAAGAACAAAAGGGAGGTGCTAGCCTTGTTTCTTCTCTTATACTATATGCAGGCCTCCTGCCTAATGGCAGGTGTAACACTCATACTTCCAATCCTAGCACTAGACAATGAACCAATCACAAAATCTAGATTCAGCTGCCCCCAAAAAGCCCACGCTCTCATGACCACATGAGGCTTTGGGGGAGGGGACATTCAGACACAAACCATAACACACTCTGACAAAGGAAATCAAAGAAGACATCAGAAAATATAAAAATACCTCAAGTTCCTGGATAGGCAGTCAAAATGGTTAGACTTTTAAAGATGGTATATGGATTGAACACAATCCAAGTCAAAATTCCAACAGCATTCCTTGCATATCTAGAGAAAACAATTGTAAAATTCCCATGGAACCAGAAGAGACTCAGGATAGCAAAAGCAATCCTGGATAGCAAAAGCAGTCCTGGGTAACAAAAACAAAACAAGAGCCATCACAATTCCAGATTTGAAGTTATGCTGCAAATCTATAGTGATAAAAACAGCATGGTACTAGCAGAAAAACAGATATGTGGATCAGTGGAGCAGAACAGGAAACAGAAACAACCCCAGAAATATTCAGGTATTTGACCTTTGTCAAAGAGGCCAGACCTTACACTTGAGGAAAGATAGGCTTTTTAATAAATAATTCTGGGTAAATTGGATATCCACATGTAGAAGTATATCTCATTGTGTACTAAGCTAAAATCAAAGTGGATCAAGAATCTAAATGTTAAGACAGAAACACTTAATCTGCTGGAAGATTAAATGTTTAGCCTCTTGATAGGTTAGCCTCTTGAAGTATTTTCTCAAGAGCTAAAATCATATTACAGTGATACATACATACCCATATTTATATCCTCACAATTTATAATAGCTAAATTTTTCAATACTCTTCCACAAATGACTGGGTAAAGACAGTGTGCTACAGTGTTTATACACACGAGGCATTTTTAGGTAAATGTATGTGCCTTGAGAACCTAATATTAGGTGAAATAAATCAGGCACAATTACTTAAATATCATAAGGTTTCTCTTATATGAAAAGCTTAAAATACAAAGAGAAAAAGAAAAGGTAGCAGGAAATAGGGAGATCTTTTTCAAGTAAGAAGGCAAAGAAGAAATGGAAAGAGAGAAAAGAAAGGGAATGGGAGAAAAGAATTGAAAAAAAAATGTTAATAGAACTTCTAAAAATGGGACAGAGACCAAGAGTTGGAAGAAGCAGGAAGGGATGGCAGGGATGGGGGGGGGTATGAAAATGTATTATGTCCATGTGCCAGCTCCGCATGATAAATGTAATCACTATGTATCACAAACATGTGCTAATAAAATATTTACAAAATAATCATTATGCCTGATCTCAAATCATGTATTCTGAGGCTGTTAAGTAGCCACTTGCAGTTTGCCCAGAGGCAGGGAAGATTTTTATGGTGTCTTACCTTTTGGAGTAGTAGGACTTCTCATTTTTTGTTTTGTCTCTGTAGAAGCTAATGTATTGACTCTGAGGAGCAGCCAGTAGAATCAGACAGATTATAAAATGTATCTTCTGACCATGCTCAGTACTTTATTGTGATTTCTTCTTCACAATGAAACACAGGTTTTTAAAAACTTTCCTATATTAGCTACATCCTCCTTGTTTATTCCCTTGTAGACGTTTTGGATTCTGGTGATCCTAACGACCCGGGGATATCTCTTTTTAGGACCTTTCACTACTATTTCCTTTGTCTGGGATGCTCTTGAGTCAACACCCACCTAGCTTGTTCAAGTCCTTAATATCGCCTCAAAAGGCAAACCTCTCCTGGCTGTCCTTTTAAAAACTACAACCTCACCTCTGTATTCGTGATTGTCCATTTTCTGCCATTTTTTTGCACAACACTTACAACTTTTTAGTATTCTTTTCTTATTAGATTTTTGTCCTGCTGTCTAATAAAATGGAAACTCTTCAAAGGCAGGACATTTTTCTGCTCTGTGTGTATATGCAAAATATATATTTAAGTATATAGAATAAGAAAACATAATGTTGGCATTCCATATCTACAGTTTTCTCTTCTATGGCATCAACCACCCATGAATCAAAAGCACTGAAAATATTAAATCTGTACTGAATGTGTGGTGAACTTTTTCTTTGTTACTATCCCCTAAACAATTCGGGCCAGGGTTTAGCTCAGCGGCATAACTGCCTGCCTGGCAGGTGCTAGGTTGCGAGTTCGCTCCCCGGTACCTAAAAAAACAAAACAAAACAACCCCCCCCCAAAACAATACAGCTGCTACCTAATAGCATTTATATTGTGTTAGGTATTGCAAATAATCTACTCATGTTTTAAAATATGTAAGAGGATATACATAGGTTATATGCAAATACATGTAGCCATTTTATATAAGGTATCTGAATATCCACAAATTTTGGTATTTACAGTGATGGTAAAACTAATAACCCATTGATATACTGATTTATATGTACACAGACACACACATATATAGGAAGTCAAATATTTATTAAATGACTGAATAAACTATATTGAGGTGGTCTAACTTTTAAAGAAGTCATTTAGGGTCAGTATAATTGCTGTTTTAAAGGAGTGTAAATGACCTTTTAACTTACTAATTTATTTTTTTCCTTCCAGATTCATCGAAACAAGAACAAGTGGAAATTCTATTTGAAAGATGGGGTTATGTGTTTTGGAGGGAGAGACTATGTGTTTGCAAAAGCCATTGGTGATGCAGAGTGGTAAAGCCCATGAGCTCAGTACATCAATTTTGTGAACACCATTGGAACTCTTGCATATTGTGAAACTTACTTTTATCTTAAATGTATAGTCCATCACAAAGCAGCTCAAAATTTTAATTCACAATATTGAATTTAATAAAATTATAGTTCAAATGCAGATACAAATATATAATTTTATATTTGATTTGTTTTAATATCCCCCTGTTATCTATACCATGACAAAGCATATTTGATTAGAGATGATAGAGCATGAAGAAACACCACATTTCTTAATCCTTAAAGTAAAATTTAAAACAGATTCCAATATGCCTTCATGTGAAGAGTTAGTATGAATTGTTAGATGAGGACCAGCATTCCTCCCACTGTTCACCAAATCATGTTACAAAAGGTACTGGGGATTCTTTTCAGTAGTGGGACCTTGAAGAAGGCTGATCTGATCTCTACTGGCAATATCCTGACTGTGCAAGCTCAAATGGTCCCTTGGCGGCAGATACCTAACTTATTATTTAAATACAAGAATCTCTGCTAAGGCCGGGATCCCTGGAGCTAAGGTTGCTGGCTGTATGTGAGAAGGGCATCCTTCTTCATATCCTAGGTAATTGTGAGGGGTTGGATTAGACTCCTATTTTTTGAAACTTCAGACTTTGTCTTAAAATCATGGAAGAGTTTCCCATTGTTCTTTTTCTATTTCTCCACACTGAAAGACTCTTTAGCAAAGTCTTTTCCCTTTGAAGGCAGCACAGAGGTACCTTGGTTCACAAACTTAATTCTTTCCATGATTCTGGTCGCAAGGGAAGCAATTTGCTTGCAACCAGAATACTATGTGTATGCTTGCAATTAGGTAGCAGCCTAAATAGTAGAGTGAATTCTGCATCCAGAATCACGGGAAGAATTAAGTTCATGAATCGAGGCACCACTGTATCTCGCCTCCTTTTCCTTAACGGAGGATCCCTTGCTGAGCTGAGGCTTTCTAAAGCAAAAGTCAAGAAGAGATTTCTCTTCAGGAACCTTCTGCTTTGGCCAGGCAGTCTCGTTTGAGACAAGGAGGAGTGGGCAGGCCTTCAAATCAAGGAGAGAACACTGTGCAAGCCACAGATAGCTCCTCTTCATCAATAAAAATAAAAACAACTTGGTATCCAATGAGTTTTTTTTTTCACAGTACTTCCTTTTGTAGACTGAAATCCTCCAATGGAACATTTCCCTCATTACTGTGTTTCTCTTAACAGCCTGGGGGATGGATGGTCTCTAGGTCCAGGACCCCCAGTTTCAGCCTTGAATGATGTCCAGAAAAACAACTTCCATACAGAGGAAATGCAGGGGAGAAGAGGTTATGATTTTTCACAAAAGCTCCCTGAATACTAGATATCTGGATCTAGTTGGCACAGGACAGATTTCTCAGTTTCTTTTTGGAACACAGCCTTGCTTGGAAAGTTTAATTTATTCTAACACTTGTTCTGTCCCACCCAGTGGGCTCAGCTCTTGCTATATCTGTTCAAAATCTAAATAGATCTCTTCGGTGCCCTGGACATCAGTAGAGAACTGTTTTTGCCTCAAGTTGGAAGCTATATGAAGATTCAGCTCATACTAGTGGTGGGCTGCTTCCCTAACCGGATTCTCCAGCTGGGTCCTTTTTATCATCAGAGCGATATCCTACTGCCACTGGTACACCACATCCTTCGCTGGCGTCCGAGAGTACCAGGAGACTCTTTCCTCTGGTGTTGCTTATCATGAAGTGTCTGTCTTTTTAGATGAAAAGTGCAAAGACACTTGTTTTGTATCTGATTCTGAAGTGTACCCTTTCCAGGGCTGAGGACACTTTCTGGTCTTCCTATTTTTTTCCTCCCAGGTTTACCTGCATTCACCTTTGGCAAACCTTATTGTGAATTAAAGGCTGGATGTATTGCCAAGATATCCTTCTTGGGAGTTAGAGTTTTAACGTGTTGGTTCAAGTTCCTGGAGAAGCCAGTAACAGTTGTTTCTAAAACTTCTTTCCTCCTTTTCATTATGAGGTTTAAAATCTGTTAGATCCAGTGATACTTTAATGAAATACTGTAAATACTATTATTATATTATGCTTCTTTATGTAGTGCATTTTATCATTAGAGAAAAATATGTGGTAGTTTTGTTGGTGTCTCTGCATGCCCTCATGCCTCTAATCTTTTAAAAATGCAAAAATAATTTATCTGTTTAAAGTAGGCTTACCACAAAATGAAGTCCAATGATAATTATCATTGTGTTCTGATATAACAGGTGATAGTTTTCATGGTGACTACAGAGAATGAATAGATCATCAAAATTTTGTTTTTTTATTTGAGACAGGATCTCACTATGTAGTTCAGGCTGGCCTTGCACTCATGGCAGTCCTCCTGCCTCAGCCTTCCACATGTGTCACTATGCCCAGCTCACACCAAATTATTTTGAATTTGCTACCCATTTTTTAGCATTAGATAATGCTAGAAAAAAGAATCCTAGTTTTTGAGAAGTTGTTAAACCAGTGATTTTCAAGGTGTTTTGGCCAGGATCTATACTAAGTTTTGGGAACACAGTCTGTATTTGAATGCACACTGACGCATACAACACAAGTGAAACAAAAGTTATGCTTTTAGTGTGATGACTTACCTGTTCAGTTCAGCTCTGTTTCACTTTAGAAATCTGTAGTCTTTATCAAGTTGATTTCATTACTTATAGTTAAAAAAAACTTTAGCATGCTGATACTCATACTTGTATTATTTGATGTGAATATGATATTTTAGAGGAGCCAATTCTTAGAAAGTATTTTTAGTATTTCTGAAACTGCATATTAATATATTCCATATATTAATAGGTTCCATGTGATATTTCAATGCATGTATACAGTATATTCTAATCACATCTAGCCTCTATTTATCCACTTTCCTGACTCCCTTCCCAACTTCTAGTAATCACTATTCTATATTTAGGTCCACTTTTCTTAAACTTCAACATATGTGAGAGATAATATTTAGCCTGTGTGGTAAAGATAGTGTGAGACAAATCTTCATGTACTTCAAAAGAGGAAATTACTGTTTAAGGCTTACAAGTGCACAGATTTATTTGAAATTTGAATTCGCCTTTAGTTAAAGGAACTTCATCTTGTCTGTTTTAGTTAGCATTTTGTTGCTGGGACTAAATATCCAATACTCACAACGTAAAGGAGGAAGGTTTTATTTTTGCTCACAGTTTCAGAGGATTCAGTCCATGGTCAGAAGAGTATGGGGTGGTGGCTTGGAAACAGAGCAGGGGAACAGTGCCAGAGAGGAAGGGGACTGTGCATTTGCAAAAGCCAGGGACCATATAGAGTACCCAAAGTCATACCTCCATAACATACCCAAACACACTCAGAAATGTGCTCCACCAGCCCTGGGAAACTTCCAAACTAACCAGGTTGACACAATTAAACTTAAGCACCACAGTGTCCAAGATTAATGTTTCATACTGCATGTAGTCACAAAATACAATGAAGTTAGTTTTCAAGGAGACAATACCTGGTAAAATGTTGTCTTACAACCTTTTACAGATGGAGAAAGTATCTCTTGTAGAGGTTTACAGTTGCTGTTTTAAAGAAATTTGTGAAAGTATCATGTGTCGTAATTCCAATAATCAGTACACTTTGACAGTTTCTCCAGCTTTTTCGCTTGCTCACATCCTGTGGTGCTTTCTTAAAGTACTTTGCCTCCCTGGAGGCAAGAAGATCTTGTTGAGTTTGCACAGAATTAGTCTCTTAGGGACTAACTGACCTTTCCTGGTACACTTCTTTACCTATTTTATCCAGTGTGCAGAATACCTTAGTGTTATGATACGTATAGATAATCATCTGTATGCTGATACTTCACAGAGCATTGGGACTCTAATTTTAACCGACAGACTCAGTTTTAGTCGTTTAACTTGTATAGAAAAACCAGTAACTTTTGAGTGAACGGCAGGAGTTAATTGGGGAACTAAGCAGGAGATTTACTGGGAATTTTATTTTGATTCATGTATAAGTTAATATTGTGCTATTTTCATGTAAACATACCGTAGGCCAAGTGAGAGCTTTATGATTTATAGCTAGAAAGCTAAATTATAAGTAGCAAGCCTATGGCAATAACTCTTGGGGAAAAAAGATGTTAATTAGAATCAGAGCAGCCCCCCCTTCTCCTTATCCAAGGGAATACATTTCAAGATGCCAGGTGTATGCTTGAAGCCTCAGCATTGAACCCTGTACATACTGTGTATTTTTCATATAGATCTTAACTTTTGCTACATAATTCCAGTGTTAATCTGCCCTTCCATGTTTAGAGCATGGTGCTGTCTCTGCATCACAATGCTTATAGTTAGGGTACATCATTAAGTAAAAAAGCATTACTTAAACACAAGTACTGTGTTACCATGATAGTCAACTGATAGCCAAGATGGCTACTAAAAACTAATTAACATGTTTTATATTCAGCATAGATGTGTCGGATGAAAGGGTGAGTCAAGACCTTCCCGGGGTTGAGTGCAACAGTAAGATTTCATCACGCTCTTCAGAACAGTAATCGATTTAAAGCTTAGGAAACTGTTTTCCTCTTCATGTTCCAGACCATAGTTGATTGGGGAACCTTAAACCATGGGAAGTAGGGGATACTGGATCAACCATTTTAAAGGAAAGATTATTTCTAATTATGAACACGTTTATTGAAATTTTCTTTTATTTTAAAGATACCAAAACAAAACCAGAACAAAGCAGATCAGAACAAAACAATGCAAGCAATACAGGATTTCAAATCAAGACAACAGGAAATCAACAGTGGCTACCACAATGTCTCCTTTTCTCCCTGAAGTAGTTGTCCAGATCTTCACACACATTGAATTCAAACAAAACAAAAGCAGTATAAAACCAATCAAAAGAAAAGAATGAAAGCATTACTGACCTTCAAAATCAGACAATAGGAAAATCAACAATGGCTACCATAATGTGTCTTGTTCTCTTCAAAATAGTTGTTCATACCTTCATACATATTAAAATCAAATAATAGAAAACATAAATCAATCAAAACAAAGAATAAAAGCATTATTGGACTTCAAAACAAGATGACAGAAAATCAGCAATGGCTACCTTAATGTCTCATTTTCTTAAGAGCTGTTGATACCATCACACATAATAAACTCTTTAGAAGTAAACTCTTATAAACTCTTTAGGAGAAGTTCTAGGCATGTATAAGCCTATACATGTACATCTGTCTTTTCTGAATGAGAGGGAAAAACAAAAAATACAAGAAAAAAAAAAAAAAAAGAGACAACAAGAACAAAGAGCCCAAAATGTTAACAATATAGGCTTTCAAAACAAGGTAGTAGGAACATAACTTAAGGTTGTTATTTTGCATAGTTATCTTCAAAAGAGTTGCTCAGATTACCAGATATAGACTTGCAAAATTGATCTAATCCTATGAATTAGGATTAGATATAGACTTGCAACATTGATCTAATCCTATTATTAATCCTATGAATTAACTGTTTTGTTCCAAGAACTAATAGAATTAGTATAATCATCTTAGCTATCTTAAGGGTATATAAACAAATTTGCCTTTTCATTTCTCTTATTTCTTTTCTCCTTTTCCCTATCTGAGTTATTTTTTCCCCTTTGAACAGTCTCTTACCCTTTCACAATATTTATTGAAGATCTCGTGTCTTATTCTTTCAGTTTCTTATACTAGGGAGACAATGTATTTACACAAGTGAGTTTGATTTATTTCACTTATAAGTGTGGTCTCAGGTTACATTCATGTACCTATAAAAGCCTCCATGTGATCTTTTATCTCTGAGTAGCACTCCATTGTATAAAAATACCACATCTTTTTTATCCATTCCTTAGTTGAGGGACACTTAGATTGTTTCCAAGATCTGGCTATTACAAACTGTGCTGCTGTAAACATGGGTGCACATATATCACTGTGGTATGATATTTTCAATTCTTAGGGGAATATGCCTAGAATCGGAATAGCTGGGTCAAATGGGACTTCTAATCCCAGCTTTTTGAGGAACCCCCAGACTGACTTCCACAGTGGTTGCACCAGTCTACACTCCTACGAGCAGTGCAGAAGAGTTCCCTTTTCCCCATAGCCTCTCTAGCCATTGTTGTTTATAGTTTTCTTTATCCTGGCCATTCTGTCTGGTGACATGGAGTCTCAGTGTGGTTTTAATTTGCATTTTTCTAATGAGCAATGATGCTAAACATTTTTTTCCTGTATTTATTTGCTATTTATATTTCTTTATTTGAGAAATGTGTATTCATCTCAGATGCTCATTTTTGGATTATTTGAATTTTAGGGGTCTGAATTTTAAAATTCTTTATATGTTCTAGACAGAAGTCCTTGGTCTGAGGGACAATTGACTAATCTTTTTTCAAAATTCATGGGTTTCCTTTTTACTCTGTTGGAGATTTCTGACATGCAAAAGCTTTTTAATAAGATGAGATCCTAGTTGTTGATTCTGGGAAGTATTTCCCATACAGTTTGATTTTTGTTTATGAATTCTCTGCTTACACCTCTGTATGCAAGAGTTCTACCTACTTTGTCTTGCAGCAGATTTAGTGTTCTGTTTTAATATTTAGATCTTTGATCCATTTTGCCTTTAGTTTATTCCATGGTGATAGGCATGGGCCTAGTTTTAAGTTTCAGCATATGAAAAGCCAGTTTTTCCAGCACCACTTATCAAAGAGGCCATCTTTCTTCTAGTGAACATGTTTGGCCCCTTTATCAAAGATAAGGTGGCTGAGTGTGTTTGTAGTTGTAGTTGTATCTTCTAATCTATTCCATTGATCTTCATGTCTGTTTTTATTCTAGTACCATGCTGATTTTATCACAGTGGCTTTGTGGTAGTGTAACTTCAAGTTAGGAATTGTGATGCCTCCTGCTTTGTGTTTGTTGCCCAGAATTGGATTTGCTATTCTAGATGTCTTTTGGTTCTATTTTAGAGGATGTCTTTTGGTTCCAGATGAATTTTAAGAATGATTTCTTTAGATCTGTGAGGTATGTTAATGGTATTTTGATTGGGATCACATTAAATCTGTATAACAATTTTGGGAGAATGGCCATTTTCAGTGTTTGTTCTTCCTATCCATGAACAAGGAATGTCTTTCCGTTTTCTGAGATCCTCTTTAATTTCCTTTTCCAGAGTGTTGTAGTTTTCACTGAATAGATCTTCTACTTCCTTTATTATTTGATTCCTAATTATTTCAGTTTTTTGGATGCTATTGTGAAAGGTGTGGTTTCTCTTATTTTTCTCGCAGTGAGTTTGTTTATGTAGAGGAATGCATGTTTACAGATAGCTAGTGCTTTGGGCTTGATTTGCTTTTCTTTTTTGAGATGTTCCAGATGTAGCATAGGTTGTTTATTTGTGTTCATTCTGTTTTCCTGATGTGAGAATTCACCATGATAAATTTCCCTCTGAGGACTACTTTCATGGCATCTCACAGGTTCTAGTAAGTTTTATTTTTTATTTGCTTTTAGATATTAATTTCTTCTTTAATTTTCTCTGTGACTCACTGATTGTTCAGGAGTATATTGTTTAATTTCCATGTGTTTATGGAATTTTTGCAGTTTCTTTTGTCATTAATTTCTAGTTTCATGGCACTATGATCAGATGATATGCATGGGATAATTTTGATTCTTTTGCATTTACTTAAGCATGTTCTATGGGCTAGTATATGGTCTATTTTAGAGGATGTCCCATGTGAAGCTGAGAAGAATGTATATTCTGATGTTGGGAGGAACAAAGTACACACTACTAAGTCCATTTGTTCACAAGTTTGATTCAGTTCTGTTATTTCTTTGCTGATTTTCTGTCTAGTTGATCTGTCTTTTTGTGTCAATGGTGTGTCAAGGTCTCCTGTTATAATTGTGTTATTGCTTATTTGATTTTCATTGCTATTAATATTTGTTTTACATAGCTGGGTGCGCCTATATTTGGTGCATCTATGTTTAGGATTGTTATCTCTTCCTCTTGAAGTTTTCTCCTAACTAGTATGTAGTGACCTTCTTTATCTTTTCTGATCATACTTGGTTTGAAGTTCACATAGTCTGAAAACAGAATAGCTACCCCCGCTTTTTTTGGAGGGGGGTTCCTATGGCATTTATGGCATTTAGTATTGTTTTCCATCCTTTGACTTTCAGTCTATGAATTTACTTTTGTGTTAGCTGGATTTTTTTATATGCAGCATATGATTGGATGTTGTTTATTGATCCATTCTACCAGTCTGTTCCTTTTAATTGGTGAATTGAGGTTATTTACATTAATGGTTATAACTGATATATATTGGCTCATTTTTGTCATATTATCTTTCTGCTATTGGTTCTTTACTTTTCCCTTTTGTTTAATTGTTTGCCTTGCTTAGTGGTTTTTTTCTGTTGGTGTTCATGAAGTTGTAGTTATTTTTATGTCTATCTAGAATATCGTTCAGTATTCATTGCAGGATTGGTTTAGTAGTCATAAAGCTCTTTAACTGTTCTTTGTTGTTGAGGTATCTTATTTCTTCATCAATTTTGAAGGACAGTTTTTCAGGGTATATCAGTCTGGGTTGGAAGTTGTTTTCCTTTAGGATCTGAGATACTTCACTCCATGCTCCTCTTGATTTCATTGTTTGTGTTGAGAAGTCTGCTGTGATTCTGATGGCCTTTTCTTTATAGTTAATCTGTCTCTTTAATATTCTGTTCTTATGTTGAATTTTTGGAATGTTTATTATCATATGTCTGGGTCTAGATTTATTTTGGTTATGGCTAATTGGAGTTCTATATTCTTCACTTATCTGTATGTGAGTTTCCCATTTCTTGGAAATTTTCAACTATTATTTCTGTAAATAGTCTCTTTATATCACTTGTGTTGTCATCTTTTTCATTTACACTTAGCAATCTTATATGGTTTTTCTTTGCATCATCTTACAACTATTGAATTGTTTATTTCCTGATTGCTTGTTATTTTTTAAAAGATCTTTCCTTTTTCACTATTAGCAATCTTGACTTCAAGGTCTGAAATTCTATCTTCACATTCATTCAGGCGTGGTTTTGCCAGCTTTTGATGGAATTTTTGATTTCCTGGGTGTCTCTTTGAATCTGTTTCATGCATTTTATCACTTTATTACACTGTTCACTTAAGGTTTCCATCTTTTTGCAGGGCTTTGTAATTTTTAAACTATGTGTGGTTTAGATGTGTTCAGCATTTCTTTTATTACATTTTCAATTTCTTCTTTTATTTGAGAGATTGTTTCTGATCTGAGTTCCTTTATAGCTTCATTGAGTTGTTTCCTCACTTTGTTTGCTATCATTTCAGAAGTTTCAGGTGTATGGCTTATATTTCTTCTATGTCCATGTCTTCTAGGCTTGTTGGGATGGGCTGGAGGTTTGAGAGTGCATTTGCTCTTTTGTTTTGTTATTTTCCTGTATTCCCCTGGGGCAGCTGAATGCAAGTCTCGGTTGCTTCCTGGGTTGAGGATGCTTGTCCATAATGCAAGGATTTGCCTCAGTTGAGTGGGGGGTTATTAGGCCTCAGCAGGTCTCTGGTGGCACTTGAAGGCTCCTCAAATAGGGGGAGTGCTCTGGCTGGACCTTCATCTCATCCCATGTGGCACAGGACTCTCCCAGGTTCTCAGTGGCGTACCAAGGCTGAGCAGCTAGATGGAGTAACACTGTACAGGCCTGCAGCTCATGCCACCAGAGCTCCCCAAGTGCTTGTGGTTGTTGGGTGGGGCCCTAACAGGCTCTAAGTAAGGTTGCCTGGCTAGGTGGCATTTGCTGTGCAGGACTTCTGCTCACGCTACTTGGTGCAGGAGTTTCCCCTGCCACTTGGGGTCACTGGATAGGGCCCAAGCAGGACCCAGAGCTGCTTACTGGTGCACCCAGCTGTTTGGGATGCTGGGTGGGGCATCCAGGTTCTGAGTGAGGTGACAAGGTTGCAGCACTAGGTGGAGTTCACTGTGCAGGCCTTCTGCTCTCGACACTTGCTTCCTCTGCCACCCAGGGTCACTGGACCATTGACATTTTTGTGAGATTCCTTATTTTTTGAAAAACACTAAAACCAGACCGTTTGCAAAATGTAATAAATGGAGAACAAAATACCAATGCCTGTTAGAGTTATTTTGTAAGTTTAAATCAGTTATTCTAGATTGATTAATCCCTTTCAGCCATTTTGCAACCTACCAGTGAAATCAAACATGTTTTTAAAAACCAAGATAGAGTTATAAATTCATTGAGCATCTGACTTTTTAAGATTTAGGTCTGAACAATTACATGGAATAAGAATGCACATGCTCTCTAAGCAACCATCTCATTTGGGAATTGCTTTTTAATGAGGACAGTTTCACATTTCAGTTATAAAAGTGAATTAGTTTTAAAAGTTATTAATCTGAGCTGGAGATAATAGCTGGATGGTAAAACACCTGGTTAGCAGTCCCCACTACCACACACACTCAAATTACCCCGTGTAAGGCTTTTAGATGGATAAGGTAGAAGAAGCAAAGAGGTAAAAGAGATGAATGAATTACTAAAATTCATAACAGGTGAAAAAACATAGACTTGAAAAGATAATATACTTGTACAGGGTAAAAGATAAGTGATAGAGGCAAGTGCTAAAGAAGTCCAAAGAGACACCATTGTGGATTATATATGTATTATTTTATTTCATATAAAGGAAATGTCTTGAGTGGATTGGGACGGAATAGATCTTAGAGTTTGACGAAGAAAGTAAACCTATATTTAGGATTGTTAAGGAGGCAGAAAAGAAGAGAGGTAAAGAGTAATTCAGCCAGTAAGAATGCCATGGGCACTGTAAGGCCTCAACTGGACCCAGCTCTCCTAGCCCCCTGCCTGCCTGCCAGCAGAGGCACAACTTTCTGCAGGGAACTTAGCTCAGTACCCAAGTTATCACAGGCAAGCACAGGGTACTGTGAAGGAGGTAAGATAGAACAAGGAATTTTGCAGGTCTTGGGACATCTGGGGTCATCTAGAGACACCTGAAAATTTATACCACACCCTTTGAGGATTCTGCCATTGATGTGCAAGACTGCTGGACAATTTTGACCACAGATGTTTGTTGGCCTCTTCCCATCTAATGTCCCCGGCCTTCTCTCCATCCCTATAAAAAGGACACATTTCTCTTTGTTTGGGGCAGATGGCCTTATTGCTCTTGCTTGCCTGTTCCCACACACAATAAATTCCACACAGCCTTTACACAAGGCTGGTGGTCTCTTTTGGTTCCTTCCCTGCCCATATGTTACATAGCTTACAGGCACCAGAATGGAGATGTGTAGGCCACGGCTAGGTAAGAGTAACTGGAAAACTTTGTTCCATGTAGAAAAACAGAAGAAATGAGCAGATCTGACATTGGATTCTATAGCTCTTTGAATGTTAGGCTAGGAGATAAATTTTATAGGCACTAATAAGTTGCTCAGGAATGTTATACAGGTAAATAGTGAAATAGGGTTGCAGGAACATTTAATCAGTGGTGAATATGAGAGTATGAACATGGGAAAGACTGGATATAAATAAAAGTTAGATATGGTAGTAGCCCAAGAGGAAGAGAAAATGACCTGAGATGTGGACGTGGCATTTGGGTACAAAATCATTGGTTTGGAGAACAAATCAAAGGAATGACTAGTAGGTCTTACTGATGGAAGGATATTGAAATTATAATGAGGAACAGTAACAGTGGTAGAGAATAGCGATCATTATTTGTGCAAAAGGTTGTGAAAGTTATTTTTATAGTTCACATAGAAGTATGTTAGGCTCAAACTATTTAAAAGTACATAAATTAAAACAAGTTTCTCTGCATGAATAAGTTTTTTTCTCCTGTACTTTCTGCCTTTTTTGTAGTTTTGGTTCTGGGACTGATGTATGAATAAAAAATGCATTGTGTAGTTATATAGCAACATAAGTTAGTACTCTGTCATACTGCTGAGGCAAATTCTAAAACACTAGCTTACAAGACCGACTACTGAATCTGAATAAGTTAAACTGGTTATGGAGAAGCAAACTCAGAAATGTTACAGAGAAGAGATATTTTATAAAGCTTATATTTATAATCTTTTTTGAATTATTTTACACAGTGGCATAAGGTTTGAAAGCAAAGTACATGTCTAGGGTCCATTTATGTTTAATAAAATGTTGCTTAATATTATGTTGAAAGAGAGCAAAAGATAGTCCAGATATCCCATAATAGAAAAATAGAGTGTTATGTTAGTGAATACTAATCAGCAATCAAAGCTAATTTGACCAGTAACATGAATGAATAGCAAAATTATTATACTGAATCAAATAGGCCTTACACAGAAGAGTACATACTGTATGGTCCCACAATAAAGTTCTAGAACAGGCAGAGCTAACTTGCTGGGACAGAAATCAGAACCATTATTACCACTGGGAAAGAGGACGATGAAACTTTCTGATGTGATTGTGGTTCATATCTCGATAGGTTTGGGTGACATGGATATATGCATTTCTTAAGACTCATTGCATGGTACATTGGAGATCTGTCCATTTCACCATATGTAAATTTCACCTAAACTGTAAATATATAATCTTTAAGTGCTGAGGTTTTAGGATTGACAAATACTGATGTTTGCAGATTACTTTGAAATATATAAAATAAGATGAATTGGTAGATGAATAGATCATTATATAAATATGTATTGAAGCTAGTGTAAAATATTGTTAAATTTAAGAGATAGTACATGAGTTTACTATGCAGTTCAGCTTTGAGATTAAGAGGATGGGGTACCAAAGTAGAGCTATGAGTTTTGATTATATTTGTTGTCTTTTATTGGTTTTGAGAATTTTGACAAGATGTAATAGGTTTTTTCACTTATATAACATAAGTAATAGCTATATCATAATTTTATGAAGATTTAGTAGGTTAAATTATGTAGTAGCTGTCAAGATGTTTGGGACATAATGAGCTGTCAATACAAATTATTTTTTTTTTCATTTTTTTTTTAATTGGTACCAGGGATCGAACTCATGACTGCCTGCTTGCAATGCAGGTACTTATGCCGCTGAGCTAAATCACCAGCCCCAATAAAAAATATTTTTAAAAAATCGAAGGGCCATTAGAAAAAGTACAATTAAAATCATGATTTGGTGTCCTGCAGAAGCCAATTTTAAGTAAAAGTACTTCCTAACAAATAGCAAATGTAGTTTCGGTAACTTGCAAAGAATAGAAATGATGGAAGGTAATTATTTTTAAATATTTACATATTTTTTTTCACTCAAAATATAATGTCCTAGAATATTATTTTCCCTTATAAATTTTGTAACTTCAGATGGCATATTTTTTGTGTTTTATTACCAAGATCTGCAGTAGGAGATCAGGAAACAAAATGGGCAGAGATAAGATTCCTACTGACAAAAAGTTTGCAGTCTGCAACATAATGTGTCCTTGTTCTTCAGAAGAGAAACACCAGAAATATATATTAGATATTTATTTTAGGTTACTTTTGAATAAGTAGGATCTATACAGGAGATAGATGTAAGTCTCTAGAATAGTGCTATCCAATAGAACTCTCTGTATTTGGGCTGTCTAGTGTGATAATTATTGTTACAAGTGCCAGTAAATTACACATTGAAATATGGCTAGAGTACTAAGGAATAACAGTTTTAATTTTATTCAACCTTAATTTAGCCACATGGCTAGTGGCTACCAGATTATACATTGCATTTCTTGAATGTGTTTATCAAACTGAGGAAAAAGACTTGTTACTTTAAATTTCCAATCTGCTATAAACTTTTTGTAGAATGCAATAAAAATGAAATAAAAGTCAAAGGTATGCAGACGACTCCATACCCTCCCTCCCCTGCTGAGCTCATCACCGGTCCTTTTAATGTGTTTTGTTTTGAGACAGAGTCTCCTTAAGTTTTCCATACCAGCCTCAAACGTGAGACCTCTGCCCCATGCTCCTGAGTAAGTGGAATTACAGGCAGGTGTGACATGCTTGTCAGTTTCCATTTGTTAGATTCAGCAAACATAAGATGAGTCTGTGAAAACTGTTGCAAAAATTTCTAAACACTTTCAACTTCAAAATTTTATGTCACTATATAACATAAATGAAAAATAGATGGGCAATGTTCTTGGACCACTCTTTGAACGAGGTAAAATTTCTTACTCAGTATACTTAAATAATTTCTTAAAACCAGCTCTTTATATTAAAGTTACTAGTACAGGTACTATTTTAAAATACAATTCAATAATGCAGGTACTGGTATAATAGTTAACACTTTTTGTAGCAAGTCTTGTCTAGGACAGCTGAATATGGACTGTGCAATGTGGACAGCTTGAAGGTGGATTGAAAAGGCTTATTTGTTCCAGTGAAGCCGTTTTTGCAGTTAGAATTGTAAGCAGAAAATTCTTTCCTTCTATAATGTTCAGCCCGACGTTTACAGCAGCCAAATTTGCTCAGCAATAGAAAGAAATCCCTTCGGAATGCTTTTGTGAAAATTGCATATAGAAATGGATTGGCACACGAATTAACAGGATAAAAGAGAACCAGTAAAACTTTTGAGTTGGTTACTGTGATAAGAGGCACTTTAAAGGCAGCTGAGATGGCAAAAAAAGAGATGGGTGCCATGCAAGTAAAGTCGGTGAAGATGAGGATTGCCATTTTCTTAGCAATCTTGGTGTCTTTGTGGGTAGCCATCAGTTCTGGATTCTGAACTGAAAAATAAATTTTAATGTAGCAAGCACAAATGATGATGAAGGCTACCACATTGAATATCAGGATGGTTAATATATAGACTTGCGAGAGCGTGGTTTCCACCTCCATAGGAAGACAAATGCTGACCTTCATGTAGTTGCTGACACCCACCAGGGGCAACACAGCAATGAGCGTAGAAAAGAGCCATCCTGCCAGCATAATGGGAACGGCATGTCTTAACCGCAGCTTTTGGTCCAGCTGAACAGCATAGGTGATGGTGTGCCATCTTTCTAGAGTGATGACTGTGAGGGTGTAGACAGAAAGTTCACTTGCGAACACAGTGAAAAAACCAGCAGCACTGCACCCACTCCCTGTCTGCCAATCTATGGCATAGTTGTAGTACTGACCCCTTGTTTGGAAATCAACGGAGGCAATGAGCAACAGGTAGAGTCCCATGCAGAAGTCTGCAAAGGAGAGATTGCACATGAGGAAACGGGGCACCGTCAGTTTGTAACGACTGGTCAGGAGAACAAAGAGGACAGTCAGGTTTCCCACGATGGCTAAGATGTTAATCAGCCAGATCAGGACCCTGAGGAAGTCATAGCCCATGATATCTTCGCAGGGGTTAAAAGCATCTGGCTCGGGAGCACAGCGGAGTGTCTTGGGTGAGCAGAAATCATAATCATACTCCCAGCCACTCAGTTCACTTTCAGCAAAGATGGCAGAATAACTGTAAGAAGAACATGGACCTGATACAAACTTGAGATTCTGAGTATTAAAAAATTCAGTAATCGTCCTTAGTACATTTTTAAAGCCCAAGAAACAAAAGCAAACAAGGCCACAACACCCTCAGCCTTATGTTGGTTAAATTCTCTGATTTGATAGAGTTCCTCTAGAAGAGAAGGAACCACTTAGATTCTACAAGGTGTATCTGTTTAACACACTGATGCAAAGACTTACAGGGGGTGAATCTGGAAAACAGATTTAGAGATATAATACATACTTGCTAAACCTGAAAACACCCTGACTTGGCATTTTCTTACCTATTATTTATCTCACGTAGTTGCCAACTAAACCGTTACCACACTGTTGGTAGTAGCACATGTGGGTTCAGAAGACTTACAGTGAAGACTTGACTGTTAGTGGATTTGTTCAGACTTAAACCTTGACTAATGAAATAGCCTGACTGAGAAATAGTAGCCAAGAACAGACTACTGGAAACCTGAGAGTGGAAGAAGAATAATCATCCATGATAGACAGAAATAATGAAAATGGATGCCTATTGGAGGTGTAAGTCACAGACTGTGCCTGCTGAAGGGACGGTCTCCTGCTAGGCTCTGCTACCCCCGAGTTCACGTTTTCATCTTCTCTTACGGGGAAATTACGTGAGTTTTCTCGATACCCTTTCTCCAGTTTTAGCCATCTCATTTCAGGTGGTGTTTTCCTCCTGGAATAACCTTTCCTAAATACAAATTAGGAATTTCACTTATCCAGCACAAACCTTCCCCACATTTTCAGTGGCCATGAGGTAAAATCTAGACTCCTTTTGTGGCCTCCTGGGTTCTGTCTTCCTCTCTGGTCTGAAGGCTAAGGAGCAGCAGTGCTGCATGATTCAAGACATGGGCTCCACAGCAAGACTGCCAGGCTCTAGTCCTGGACAGATGGCTCACAGACTGCATCAATCTGAGAAACAGACTAGCATCTTTGTGCCTCTAGTTCTTCATATGCCAGATAAAACACTCATGCCTTCCTGGTTAGTCATGCTAAGAATTAAAGGCATTAATGCATGTATTACTGCAAATCTTATACAACTTTTTACTTGATCATGTTAAGCAAATTATAACTCTCTGGATGAATAAATTATGTGGATTTACTTCCCTGCCTCTGTAAATTTTTCTTCTACTTGATATTTTCTTTCTTCATATCTCTGGTGAATTCCTCCTCATCCTTGAGGAAAAGTTACCCTGAATCCTTTCTTGATTCTACTCCCCAAGGAATTTAGTATCCCTCCTCTCTGCTAGGGTTGCATTTAGTACCATTTCAGTTATCAAAACATTGCAATTAATTCATGAAAAATACCTGTCTTCTTTAACAGTCCCCTAGTACCTTGAAGACAAGCAATTAGTTCTTATTTCTGAAATCAAAGTGCCTAGCACAGCTTTGGCTCAGAGTGTCCATTCAATAAACGTTTGTGTTATGAGTGATGATCCTGGCTCTGAGAGGAATTGATGGGACACGGGGACAATATGCATGTTTTGCATGGTGCATACACTCAGCAAATTTTCTCTTCCATCATGCTTTGCTAACATAATCTTGAGAAATAATGCATAATTTTTCTGTGAAGGCCAGTACAAATATATATTTAACTGTGGAGTTCCTTACATTAAAAATATTATTCCCAACACACAAAACTTCTCAAATTCTCTATTAGATGTGTACCTGATTCATTGAGTAGAAGAAATAATATATTTGAAGAATGAAATGCCTAAGAGAAAACCCACAATGTTTAAAAAAAGACAAAATCAGCAAAGTAGGACTCCAAAAAGGTAAATATTCTGGAGTCAGATTTGGAGCTAGAGAAGGTCTACTGCTAACTATGTACAGAACACTCAGGTCCCGTGTCTGATTATTGAGTACCATCTCTGTACAAACATATGTCTTAAAATCACAGCAATATAATTACTATTTGCCTCTTCTAGAAAAGAAGATGGTTATAAATAACTTAGAGAAATAGAGCATTCTCAACATTAGATGCTTACAGACCATTTCATTGAACTCTCACTTTATTAGTAAGGAAACCAAGATTAAAGACTGAAAAACTTGCCCACAGTCTGCCAGGAGACTGTTTAGAGCACGAGGGCTCCCCATCCACAGCCCAGAAACTGTTTTATGCTTCACTGTTTTTCAGTGAGTGTTCAAACTGTAGTCCTTGGACCACTTCCTTTGGAACCACAATGGTGTTGGTCAAAATGCAGATTTCTGACTTTACCCCACATAAATCAATAGGGACAGAGCCCAGAAACTTTTAAGGAAAATTTCAATGAAATTCTTTGGATGATTCATATAAAATAGTCAAAAATCAGATAAAAATGTTCCAACTATAGCTGCCTGGATTTCCTTTACCTCTTTTCTCTCATCAAAAGCATTTCAGCTGCTAGACACACTAATTTAAAACTTCTGAAACTTCTGCCACAGTTTCTGAATGAATGTAAATCAATAAATGTCAGACATGTTCCCACCGTTCTTCCCCCTTGGTCATTTGTCCTTTCTTCATTTTCCCTGCTGGGGGTACATGTAACAGTTTCTCTCCCCGGTGATTGGTCTTCAGACTGGATACCCACCTGATTCTCCTTCCTCTTGTGTACTGGGTTGGCCCCTGAGGGCACATCATGTCTATTGACAAAGCCTAGCAGGAGAAATCTTTACTACTGGAGGCTATGACAGACGGTGTGAATGGACTCACAGGGCCTAATTGGAAGCACCATTCACAGAAAGAGAAACGAGGACAATTTTAGGATGCTGATGGGGAGCCCTAGTGGGAGACAACACCATGTTACCTGGGGGAGAATTGCTAAGGATCAGTGGTCGGTTTGAGAATTTCTAAACTCTAGGGATTCAGGAATGGCTCTTGGTAGGAAGTAAGAAACAGGGGATTTATTTAAAAAATGTTTTCACCGGGAGCCATTTTGTTTGCAGGAATTTTAAAATACATTTTCAGAACTATTGCCAAAACCAAATGAAAATATTTTTTTCAGTAGAGCTGAACACATACATAACTACCTATAGGGGGCCATTTAATTTAGATTATATGTTAATTTCAGATTGTCCTAGGAGGATAGAGATTAGGGAATTTGCGTAACAGCAGTGGTAGCATAGCACACTCCGGAAGGCTCCTTTGGAAAGGCTTGAGGAGGGGCTGATGAGGGTTATGAGAGTGAGTTGAGATTCCTCTTCCCCTGAAAACCACTCTGTGGTGTTCCATTAAGTGCGCACAGAAATGGTTTCCTGTTGGTGACTATAGTCGTTTTCTGTTGATACAAAGAAAGGAGTGGAAAGGGTGTAGAGAAGAAACTCTGTAGGACAGACGGTGTCAGACTTGGAAAAGGAGTCAAGAATACCTATCCTCCATGCTACCTTTCTGCTTTTTTTTTGGTCTTTTTTCTTTTTATTGGTACCAGGGATCGAACTCAGGACTGCCTGCTTGCAAGGCAGGCACTTATGCCGCTGAGCTAAATCCCCAGACCTCCCTACATGCTATCTTTAAGAACCCCCTTCACTCTCAGGGTTCTGAAAACCAAATGCTATTTCTGCTGTTCCTTATATACAAAGAAAAAAGTCTTACAAAGGCAACTATAGCGTATCAGTTCCCCCTGTTGCAGGGATATTACCATTTAGGATACCCAGCTCTGAGGAGCCACAAAGTATAGGGTCTTTCTACTACAACCCTGGCTACCTCTGTATAACTCAGAGATGAAGAGAATAAAGTAATAAATCTGCAAGGTACCTTAGAGAGGCATTTGGTCTTGTAAACACACTTGGGAAGAATAATAAAATTTCTGTATCTCAGTAAATGTGGAATAGAGACACTGATTATTTTGAAGTATGCTCTTTTATGATGGAAGAAGTGTAAAATGTCAAAGCACTCAGCATTTAAAGGAGGAAAAATGTTAAACATCAGTCAGCAGAATCAAAATATAGGTCCTGTCTAGTGCATGACGGTGATAGTATTATTTGTGAACTCAGGAGCATAGCGGTCAGGGTGGCCTTAGCCACTTTGAGGGGAAATGGCTAAGTCTAGGTGCTCTGTGATCAGCTAATATTTGTGGATTGCTGATCATGTGATTAGTTACGATTCTCACAAGTGAAGCTATCGTTTAGACCCTTCATTGAGATCCAAATATTTGCAAATAATACTATAATTTCTTTAGAATTTCATATAACTGTACATTGAACATTTAAGTACATTTTAAAAAGAATTTTTCTAAGAAAAAGGGGCAGAAAAATATATAACTAGATGCAAATCCTCATTTAGACTATTAAAAAATACCTTACAAAGATCCTCCTAGCCAAGACTTTTATCAGAGGAAAACTGTTGGCATGAGTTTCTTTGCATGCAAATACTTACGGTGTTTCATTATTTGGTTTTCTTGCTGTGTTTTCACATTGTTTGGAAAAGTTTTCAAAAATAGAAAATGAAAAATTCTGTCTGAAAGAGAAGAAAAAAAAATCCATACAGTTGAGCTTTCATTCTTTAAATCTGATCATGTCTATATATGCTTTATTCATCCAGATTCTTCACCTATCACACGGGCAGTGCTGTGCTCTGCACCATTGTCCTATCTGAAATGCTTCCTGAGGGGCAGGGCAGCTTTGTGAATTCTCACCAGAGTGCCTCCAGCTCAGACAGAAGGCTTCAGAATGCTAAGTGTTCTGTGTGGGCTCTAGAGATGAAAAAAATTTAAATTTGTCATACTGAATCACGGATTTTTCAATGCCTATTAAAAGCTACCTTTATTGTGTATTAAAGTTTGCTCCTTTCCAACTCTCCCCTCCACGCTGGCCTTGATTAACAATCATATGGAGTTCATGGCTTTGAACTGAAATTGGAAATCTTTTGTAAGGATCTGCAGATACTGAATATCACATGATGATGTGAATTTTAGGTCTTTTTGCTTAAGTGCAGGAATATGTAAGGGGGCTCTCTGTTCTACCATTTTCATTTTGATGTTTGGCTTAGGAAAGGGGTGCGGGGCGGTTGCCAGGAAAATAAAAACAGGCTTGAACTTGCCTAAGGGAGTTTTTATCTATGGATGAAAAATCTAAGGCAGGTACAACAATGGGTGCGGGGTGTGTGGTGGGGAGAGGATGGCAGGCTGCGAGAGCCTCAGATTTTGCTAAGCAGGAAGGAGAAACAAACAGTTCAGTCTAGACATTCTCTGTGGTTCTCCTCTGGTATCAGCGAGACAATTCTGGTTGGAACAGCTTTGCACAAAATCAGAAGGGTGGGGAGCGCATCAGAACACTTTGACCTACTGGACTTCCAAAAATTAATAAATCTGGATCAAAACCTGGTGTGTGTACTGCTGGCTCTAGCTGATACAGGTTTATTGTGTGTAGATGAATTCACAGACAACAGGAAATATGGAAATGGTTAGCCTTCAAATGATAATATGGGCTGTTTTTACTCTGTCTTTTTGGAAATTTATCATAGATGCCAGGCATGTCTTAGGCTATCTGTCCAGGCAGCTGTGTGCATCACCCAGGTGAGAGGGGTGACAGACAATTTGTATAAACATTCCACAGCCCTGCTGGAGGCTCTTCATTCTCACCAGTATCTAAGGTCTTGAGCTTTAGGGACACAGAGGGAGCTAGTTAAAGCTTTAATCCCAATCGGGATAACTTCTGAGTAACTGCATTGCATCTTCTGGTTTCATCCTGATCCTGGCCCAGAACTCCGTAATTCTTTTTCTCCTAGCTGGAAGTAGTCTCTTCCATCTACTAGAATAAGACGTCTTGAATGATAATTTTCCATATCAGTAATTTCAGAATGGATGTGGCCTCTTTACAATTGTAGGATCGACTTTATCACGAGTCATAGTGTCTGTTACTTCCCGTACCAGCTTTGCTCACCTTCAGCCACCCTCCTCGATAATTTATAATGCAAATCAAGTGCTCTTGCTCTAAGCTGTTTGCTGTTGTTGGTCCTCACACCCAGGGCATCACATATGCTAGTGATCTTATTTTTAACTCTCCATGGCTCCTCATCCTCTAACACCTTGTCTCAGTTACTTTTCTCTTGTTGCTGGGACAAAACACCTGACATCCAAATCAAAGGAAGGAAAGGTTTATTTAGCTCACTGTTTGTGGAGTTTTAGTCCATAACCAGCTGGCTCCAAGGCAGGGTGACGTGGCACAGAGGCAACACTTCAAGGCAGTAGCCAGAACAAAAAGGGAGAAAACAAGCCTCTTCTCCTCCCTTATATTGTACACAGGCCAGCCCTGTTTACAAAGAACCCTGCTCCCTGCTGAGTCTCTCAGTTAAACTTCTAAACTGCTCAAGTTGACACAATGTACCAACCATAGCACACCCTGAGCTGGTAGAGCCCAACCTGGTCTACTTTTCCCTGCCTTCCCCTCCTAAGTCTTCTTGTTCCAGTGTTTCTGAAGGATGTTTGTGTAGTATCTCACACCTCAGTGCTTTCACAAGAGCCATTCTATCTTCTTTCCCTGCTTTCCTGCATGCCTGTTCTCCAACTTCTTTCTTAGGAAGCCTCCCAAAGTTCTGGACCATTCAGAAACTTTCCCCTACACTTGCAGGAGAGCAGTCTGTCCTGCTCTCAACTCTGTTACAGCAGCTGTGTTTAGCGTGGTGTCAGCTCTCCTGTGTTGCCTCAGCTCTGAGGGCTGGGAGGAGCTCTCCCGCATCTTGTCATCCGCAGACTGCACACAGTGTCTGGAACATGCTAAGTGCTCAAGAAACCTTTTTTAAAAACCCAGTTGTGGGTGCATGACTTAGAACTCAGTGTTGTCTTCTGAGCTACCCCAAATCTTCAGGTAGATCTGAATCTACCTATGCAAGGCACAAATAATACATGCTGGCTGGCTAGTTATAAATAGGTTGATTCCAAACAGAGACAGAAGCAGTCTAGAGTCACTTTCTCAGAGCCTTATCTAATTAACTGATTGAGAATATCTCTGTAGGCTGAGATAATAATTCTGCCGTGTTTTTCCTGCTGTGAGTTGGGCTTGGTAGGTCAGGAAAGTGAGAGTACAAGGCTGACAGGGAAAACACGCATGAATTAGAATGGAGTAAAATGGACAAGACAGGATGCATCACATGTTTTAAAAGTTATTGTGTTGAGGTGTCTCAGCGCAAAAAATGTGCAAAAGGTGTTTCTTACTATGCATCTCAGCCAAAAGAATCTAGAAAACATGCTCCGAAGAAGGAAGGCCATCCTGCCACCTGCCACCCATTCTGGAGTGAAGCGAATCAGCAAAATTCTTTCTGCTGGACACAAACCCCACAGGAGCTCGTGTGCGCTCCTGGCCAGACCTGAGGAATAGTGTTAGAGGGCTTTTCTGAAATGCACAGGCCTGGGCTCCATCCCCACTTACACAGAAGAAAAGCAAAAAGTTAATTGACTTAAGCTAAGCTTTATGGTTAGCTGGATTCTGATTTGAAATTGAAGAAACTCTTCTATTGGGAGAAAAATCATTTTTTAGTAAAACACCCTTCTATAATATTTTTGTCCATTTTTATTAAAGATCAAAACATCAGCTAAATTTTACCCTCCTGAGCCTAATTCTCTTAGTTCCTTAAATCACTGTTAAGGATTAGAACTGAATGATCTTTGAGATACCAGTTTTGTACTCCATTTTGCAATTGCTAAAATGGTTATAATTCCCTTAGCCAGAATGAGCTACACAGGTCACTTAGCTGCATGGTGAATCAGCCATTCGGCAGTAATTTTCTTAAGGAGACAGAGCACTGTTTTTTTGTTTCTTTGGGTCTGTCTGAAAGTGACCCTAGAGCTACAGAGTTGGCTGGGAAGGCCTGGAGCAGAAGGATGGAGAGCTGTCTAGGGGTGACCAGTGTTGAGGTCTGAAATTCTGCCACAGCTGGGCGGCTTTACCTTTTGCTTTTACTTACTGTTTTGTTGGCAAGTTCCTGAAAGCACAGCAGTGGCTGGGGTAAGTCAGTGTGGCATCCAGGAGACTGGTAAATTTTTCCCTTGATGGCAGTTTTTTAAGAGAATAGGACGATGTGGCAATTAGTGTCTGAATGGACTCCAGTCCATAGCTTGGCAGGGCCTGCAATTTGGTGGCAGAAATATCCCTGAACGATAAAGGGAGGGAAGGTTTTTTATTTATTAATTTTATACATTTTACACAGAGAATGGAACTGCCCCTCACCAATCCTGTCATGCTTAGTGTCTGAGAAATCTTGTCTCCTTTTTGCTTTTCTCCTAATTCTCCTTTTCGGTTAGTCTCATTAATATCTGAATTCAAAGCATGATTGTGTGGGGTTTTTTCCCTCACATGCACCCCATTGTTCTTTTTGAGGTTGAGTACAACTCCCAGTACCTGCCATACATTCATTAGCATTTCTGTCTTTCTCTTCTCTTGGCTCCTTTCTCCCGCTCTCCCTCTCTCTCTCTCCCTTTTTCTTCTTAGCAGAAGTGCAATAACTACTTACTTTATAAGACAGCAGGCACATGCAGTGACAGAAGCTTTTGTGCTGTACCCCAGGGGGAAATATTCAGGGCCTCAGATGCCTCAGTCTTGGATTGATCAAGCCCTGCAGGGGAGGCTTTCCTGAAGCACGGGCTGGTTACCCTGTTAAGAGCCGCTGTGTGGCATCAGCCATCATCTACCTGGGAAGCAGGATGCGTGGTCTCTAATGCAAGCTGGATTCCTCTGTTGAAGGCAGGCAAACTGTCCGCCATGCAAGCAGAGCTGTGTGGAAGCCTCAGCCTTTGTAAACAAGGTCCTGCATGCCTTGGTTTTATTAGCCTTGAGGTAATGTCCAAGAAAATTTCAAACACATTATCAGGAGGAGGTCACTGGGAATTAAAAACTTCTGCTTATTGTTTGGAGGCTGCTGCAGCTGCCCTGCAAAGTTTTCCAACATGCAAAGATAGCCTACTCCCAGCAATCTGCCCCAGTACAGAGTATGTGATATGGGGGAGGGGCCTAGTGCATGGAAGGGAGGTCACAGGGTGATGGGTAGATGAACTTGACAGCCTGGAATGAAGACTGAGCAGCCTCTTAGAGGGACCATAAGGGTGGCAGAATTTGCCCCACAGTGTCTGCTCCTCAGTGTGTTTGTGTGGAGTCAGGTAACCTGGACTCTCATCATGCAGTAGAGAGCACCTCTCTCGTACAGGTGAAGAATCAAGCACAGGACTCGTTGCAGACTTGGGATTTGTTTTTGTTTTTGAGTGGTACGTTTAGAATTAGGACTTTGGAAATGGCAAAGCCTCATTACAAAGACTGGTTTCAAGTCTGTCTGTGTATCTAATGACTCCTTGCCTTGTTTTTCCTTACCAGTATTCTGCTGCACACTGGCTTCTGTGATGGTTATACTGCCTAGCACCTGTGGTTGTGAAATGCTGTAGCAGAAAGGATGAAATCCTGGTTATTGATGTACTAGATTTGTGTATGTCTTTTAAACAGTTTTAGTTTCACCTCACACAGAATAATCAGGAAAAGTGCAAAAATTCAAAAGCAAAATAAAAAACTTATATCTGTTTAAAAAAAGAATGGCTCTCTCTGATAGTAAGTTTTCAATTTCAGGGATAGATCCATGAAGAAAGTATGTTGGGCTATGAAGAGTGTTTCTAGATACCTTTCCAATCCTGGGGGTCACATGGAACACCGGCTTAGGAGGGAAGAGACCTAGCCTGGCCAGCAGTAGCTACAGCTGCTTTGAAGCAGTCAACCAAGCATCTCTTCAGGACTGTCACACAGGGCACCTATGGCTACACTAACTCACTCAAGTTCTGATCCCGGACATTGTCACTGGATGAGTCTTGGTGGTGGACAAAGAGCCAGACGCAGCTCTCTGTCCTGTGGCTGCAGGGTGTGCTATTTGGAGAATACTCAGCGGATCTGCAAACATAGTCTGGTATACTTTTAATATGAGTCCTCCAGTAGGGATTCTTAGAGTTGGGTCGCCAGATCTGGGAGACCAAAGAAAAAGCAGGAGGCAGGAGGCCTGAGCTAGTAAGCAGCAGTTAGAAGGCTGAGTGGTGAGTAGATGGACAGTGGCAGAAGTCAAGAAGTAGGATCAGGAATTTTACTGCTGGGTGTTAGTAAGCAGAGTCAACCTCAATAGTGGCCAGGGCCAGGAAATAGATGAGGTCAGGAATGGAGGGTGGTGGGATTTAGGAGCCAAATCGGTGATGTCACACCTATGACATGTATGCCACAGTGGGCATGCAGAGCCCCCTCTCTTTGTATGTGACTCAAGTCACCCCAGCCAACCTTTGACAAATTGACAGCATGCACATAACAGCAAAGATCACAGCTGTGCAAACCACACCTACTTCCCTGTTCCTGCCACCGTCAACTTGCAAACTTTGACCTTTCAATAAAAAGTTGTTCGTGTCATTGAAAGCTCTGTGACTGTGTTTTTCTTTTAAGACAAAAGATGTTAATGGATGAGTTGTTTTTTTCTAAATTGAAACCTCAGAATCCAGGTTTAACCGTAGCGTTGGCACTTTGTGATAGAGAAGTGGGTTTTGGGTCGCAGTCTGGGCACTTGTGTCTCAAAGGCTCACCATTACTGAGCTAGCTCCTGCCTGATGTAGATGGGGAAGGGTGAGAAGCAGAGAAAGTGAATCAAGAGTTGACTGCAGGTAAGAATCGGGAAGTAGAGTCAGAAGTTGATGGTGGCAGGACAGGGAAGTAGGCAGGAACTTGGGGTTTGATAAGAGCAGGATCTAAGGTATAAAGAATAACCAGGACAGTTCATTTCCTCCTTCTCCTCAGAACCCTACAGCTTTCTCATCTCACTCAGAGGAAGAGGAGAGAGCCCTTAGAGAAGCCACAAAGCCCTCATGACCCTGAAGCTTGCCACTCTTGTCCTTGTGGTCCCTTTCTGTCCTCTGTGGAGACTGACTTGTTACAGGGATAAGCAAGTTAAAATGGGTGAGCAGAGGATGCCCTGATCCAGTATGCCCGTGTCCTTATAAAACACACACATTCTCTGACATGTGAGGATTGGGGTTAGACTGCTGCAGCCAGAGGGAGCTATCAGAAGCAAAGAAAGAGGCCTGGAGAAGACCTTCTTTTACATCCCTCAGAAGAAACCAAACCTACCAGCACCTTGATTTGGACTCCTGCTCTCTAGGACCTCAGGACAACACCTGTTGCTTGATTCTGTCAGACCTGCTACATTTGGTCTTTGCAACAGCAGCCTGTGGTGACAGAGGAGGCTGACGTGTGTAAACCGGGCATGCAGGACACGGCTGGGCACGCTAAGCAGGTGTGGCGGGGGGTCCGCAGGGTGGGGAGAGAGGCAGCACCATTGTACTCACAAGACACTGGGGCCGCTGGTCCCCCAGAAGGCTTCATTATGTATTTTCTCCAGGTGTACATTTTCTTTTAGCTCCCTGCAGGGAAGGATAGTGTCCTCAATGGGGTTTGCACCTTACGTGTAAACATTCGTAGCTGAGGATGCACATTTTGGACCTCCCTGTGTGCATAGTGCTGTGGGCCAGAAGGGGAAAAGGTTGGGGGAGCTGTAGAGAAAGTAGAAAAAAGGTAAGCTGGTGCTTGGTGAGACTGTCGGTTGTGTCTCTGTGCCTTCCCTCTTGGAAGAACCCTTGTTCTGCAGTTGAAAAAGCTCCACTGCCTCCTCCGCCTGCATTCAGGAGGGTTGCAGCTGGCAGCTGGGAGAGGAGGAAAGTGCTATCCCAAGTGGCCAAGGCTGAGGGTTCAGGGGCAGCCTGCTCTGTATCAGATTCCCCACTGCAGTGACCTTGGAGGTGTCAGTGCTTGTCAATAGCAGTACACAGTCCTGAAGTTTGTAGGCACTAAGTAAAGGAAAGTGAGCTCCATTGCTAGCTCTTCTTTTCATGCTGTAATTTTCCCTCTTTTCCCTGTGGGTGAGCATGGAAGCAGTCACAGCCTGAGTAGACACGGGGCCGAGCAGTGTACCTGCACTTACCGCCAGGTATCTGTGTTACAGACACAACAGTGTTGAGGGCGTGGAACCCCAGTGCTGCTTGGCAGGAGCTACCTGAGGCCTCTACATCTGTGTTTTAGGCTCAACACAGCCCAGCCTGGCCTCCTGCCTGGGCTGCGATGCTGTTGTTTGCAAGCCCAGGCCTTTCTCTGGGTGAACGAAGATGGAGGAGAGATGTCCCTGGCCTTGGCTGCAGCCTTCTTTGAGGAGAAGGGCTGTGACTCATCATTTTGGAAGAGCCTGGACAGTGGGCACAGCGTTCCTGCAGCGCACTGTGGGTGCAATGGTTTGTATCTCAGGAATGTGTGACTCTGCACCATCATCCTGGTGCCACATGGCCACGCAACTACACTGACAGACAGCAGGCAGCGGGGTGATGGCATCTGCCACACTGTCTCCTGGGAGTCTCCTCATCGCGGCTGCCATTTAAAGACACAGTTGAATGTGGCTCTCTGGGTGGCTGTTCCCCACAGGCCTCTGTGTAGCCCTTTCTTGGGGAGCCCCAGTCCTTCAGTCGGATGCACCAGCCGTCTCGCAGCCTCCTTTGGGTCCATCTCTACTCTCAAAGAGGTGGGGAGGTCAGAGTTGATTGCTGTTTAAGACCTGATCCAAAAGACATTTTCCTTCTTAAACCTCTGAGGCTCTCCTGCCTCACCCAGCTTGTTTTCATTATGGGCCGTTATAGTTTTAAGTCACTAAAACTGAGCCCTGCGAGCAAATAAGCCTCATTCACCAGGTCAAGTTCAGTGTTCAGATTCTAGGGAGAAGCATTTCGGGTCTTCTTATTAAAATGCGTGTCTTTTGGTACACTGGGAGGAGAGGAAGTCCGATTCATTTAGCACATTTTCCTGAGGGTCACTCCTGAGTGTTCTCCCAGGCCGTGTGGGATTGGGGTCACCTTTCCAGGGTGAGAAGCACAGGGAGGCAGGATGACTTTTGGAGGCACAGACCGCTGACTGGGTGCCCTGGGCCCCCCAGATGCTGGCCCTCTCTCCCCTGCCACCCTTAGGAAGGGGAGTTGGGGCATTTGTAGAGCTTCCCTGCCATTGTTCTGGAAAATGACAGCTTGTCTGTGAGGAAGGGGTCAGAGACTGGGCTGGTGATGTAGTAAGAACATTTTGTTTCCTGGCTCAGAAAACTGTTTCCTCCTCCTCATTTAAACTCTTAGTGAACATCTCTGTCCTCAGAAGAGATTGCAGACCCCTCCTTCCAGCCTCTCTGTCCCACAAGACATGCTTCTGCTACGTGGTCATCTTTATCTCCTTTACTGAAAACCTTCCATCCATAGGGGCTTCCTGTCAGCTCCTGAACTTACCAGCTTCTTCTCTTTCCCAACTCAGGACCTTTGCACATGCTGCTCCTGCTTTTGGTAGTGCAATCCCCCTCACTACTTCCATGGTGGGCTCCTTGTCACCCTTTAGGTTCAGCCTAAATATTACATCCTTCATGAACTCATCCTCGAGTCCCTTGGCCATCTCACTCACCCCTGATCTGATGCTCAGAGCTCAGCAATGGGCTGTTTCTTTCATGGTTTATCACTAATTTTTAATAATTTTACTTATCTATGTGTTAAGTACTTGATTTGATATCTACTTGATTTTTTTTGCTAGTCTCTGCTGCCAGAAAAGAAACATCATAAGGCAGGGACTGTGTACTCTGTCACTGCAGACTCAACACCTCCAGGGTGCCTAATATATGAGTGGTGCTTAATAAATGTTTATTGAATGAATACACAAATAAAATTGATTCCTATTCTTGGCACACTGATGTGTGTTCCTGGCTTCCTATTTCTTACTGTGAGCTACATGACCATGCAGAATCTTGGCTAATGGAACAGTGTCCATTTTGGCCTCCTTGTCATAGCTGAGACCTCCTGAGCACCCAGGTTCTTTTCTGTTCTGTCTCCCCTGTCCTTCTCTGGGTGAACTCTGGTTTTTCTCCCACTTCTGTTTGATTCTGCTCTAGCTTCTTTCCCTCCTGATCCCAAATGTTATCTTCAGTCCGCTTATTTTCCCCTTTGCGCAGGTGCTCTGGTCACAAAGGACTTGAACTACCCTCTCTGTTCAGAAGCCCCCAGCGCCGTGTCTCTACCCTGACCGCCCCTGCTGGCCTCCACTCTCCCTGCTAACGGGTGAACTTTCCTTTATGCTTCCGTCTCATACTTCCCATTCTAGAATTTTCAACTGCTTCTCACTTCCTGCGGAAGAGATGATCTTCTTTAACCTAGCACCGATAATTTTGCCTGCTTTGACTTGAATTCACATTCAGAACTTTCTAAAAAGGCAGGGCAGCGCATGCCTGGAATCTCAGCATTCAGGAGGCTGAGGCAGGAGGAGTGCTGCAAGTTCAAGGCCACCCGAACCTGGCAAGACCCTGTCTCAACACCCCCCCACCCAACCCAAACACACACACACACAAACACGCAGAAATAAAAGAGGGTTTTGGGTTCATGAATACATCCCATGATTCTTTCTCTGGCCATTCTTGTTGTCATCTGCCTGGAACACATTTTCCTTCATCTTTGCGTGTTCGAATCCGGCCCCCCTCAAAACCTGGCTCTCCTCTCCAGCTTCTTGTAAGTTCCCTTTCTCCTGCCTTTGGGATCCCAGAGGATTTTATTTCTCTTAGGGCAGGTTGTGTGCTTCACCTTCTATTTTAGTAACTACTTAGGGTACAGTTCGTGTACCACTTGGAGGCACTTCCTCTGAGGCTACAAATTCCTGCTAGGGAAGCCCAGGACATGCCTTCATTTCCCCCAAAATACAGTACAGCGTGTTTCTTCAAGCACAGCGCATCCTCGGCAAGTACTTGTTGAATGAATAATGGAATGACACTCATGAGAGTAATGGGCTGAGAGAGGCTATTAAAACCCCTAAGTTTGGCAGAAACAGAGCCAGGATTCAACTGTGTGGCCCCTTTATGAACTCAAGGTTCTTGTTAATGAATCCTTCGTTGTGTCAACGTTGAGTCAACAAGAAATGAGGGCCAATTTACAATATGGTAGCAAGAAAAATTTTTAAAAAGCTACCATTCCTTGAGTATTTCGTATATGCTAAACCCTGTGGCAAGTTAAAAATACAATCTTATTTACTCATTCATTTACAGTTATACATTATAAAGTTAATAAATGAGCACTTCTTATATGCTAAATCCTGAAGATGCAAAATAGACCTTGCCTTTTGTAAAATGTTTCCTCAAAGCAAGCCTCTTACGGCGTTATTTTATGAATGAGGCCACTGTAGCTTAGAAAGCTGAAGTGACTTGCTCTAGTCACACCAGATGAGAATCAGGGGCATTGGAGGGTACTATCTGGTATCTACCATAGGCTTCTTCTTTAACAGCCAAATGGTGTAGCATGTATCAGTAGAATAGGGTCTTTGGTTTAAGATCTATAGTTTAACATCATTAGTAGCTCATGTAGACTTGTGCTACTTAGCTTCAGATCTGTAGGGTCAACTGTCTTGTGATGATCCCTAGACCCGGAATCAGGTTGGGGCCTGGGCAGCAGTGTCTTAACAAACTGCAGGTTATTCCCATGTGTGTTCAAGTCTGCAGGGGATTAGTGTAAGTCATCATTTATACATTCACTTGCTTGGAAAGCTTTTTTGTTTTGTTTAATTTTGGCTTTGGATGAGCTTTTCCTGTGCTCTTAGGTTTCATTTTGCACAACTGTAGGGTGCCGGGCACCTCACTTGTGCTGGGCTGGGTAGGTCCCAGGTCCCCACAAACCTAAGAATGTGCTTCTCCTGAAGCAGAGCCCTGGAGAGAAGGAACCATCAGAACAATGAGAGGGTGCCCGTGGGCACCTCCTGGAGGTGAAGCTGCTCTGCTGGGGGTTCTGCTGGAGTGGGGCGCTGCGGTGGAAAGCAGAGCTTCCTGGCCTGGGGAACAGGACCTCCTTCCCTCCTGCAGGCTAGTGGGAGGGAGGGGTCTGTTAGAGTGGGCCCTTGGTGGCTGATTAGGTGGCTAAGTGGTGTCACCCAGTTTCTCTGCAGCGGGGCTTGGGGAAGAGTTTCTTTCTGAAATTTGCTGCCTCTGAGACATAATCAGCCTGAGTGAGGGGATGGCGAGGAGAGCTGGGAGCTGGAGGAGGCATAAAGTAAGGTGTTGAATATTTCAGCAAACCGTCAACTTCAACATATCGAGGCTGTATCTGTCTTTGAAATTCGGGTGCTCTGGGGTTTGCAGCCAGCCGGTTGCCTAGTAACATGCGTGAGACACTGAGGACTAGCCACTTGAAAGTTTATTTTTGCCCTGAGTTAGTTGCTGAAGATTGAATGTGATCTGCTAGCCAGAGTAAGGCTTCATTTTTATTCATGAGCCAGGGAAATAAGCACATACTTACAGCGAAATTAGCGTCGTCCCATTGAACGCGTGACTCTGTACTTCTTCAAATCCATTTCCATATAGTTTGCTGAAGGAGGGAGAAGAGAGACTTTAGGGATGGGAAGGAACCGAGAGAAACACAGCTCGGCAGCACACATTCATCCTCCGGTGACATTTATGACTGAGGTAATCACTGGCATCGTGATACCCAGCTCGGTTTCTCCAGCATTTTAGATGGTGCGGGCTGAAGCTATTCCTCCTGCTCTGGTTTACCTCCACCTCCTCCAGCACCCCCAGCATTTGGAGTGTCTATTATGTGCCTGATACTTGATCTCATTGTCACAGCCACTCTTGACACGAAAGTGGACCCCTCAGTGTGGCTGAGCACATGCGGCAGGTGGCAGTGGCGGAGCTGGGGCTCAAGGCCCCATGATCCGCTCACCCTTCCCTCCAGCTCTGCGGCCCTGCTGGGCTTGTGAGCTCTGGGGGCTGCCAAGGGCAGAATCGGGCCCCAGGGTGCTGTCACCTGCTCCTTTTCACGGGTAAGTACATGGTTTTTCTGATGCCGAAGTTGGCTTCACAGCCAAGAAGATGTAAATGCCTGAGAATGGCTCCTAAGGCCCATGAGTGGATAGGAACTCTGTTTAGTTGAGTGAAACCAGCATTCAAAACATGAAGAAGAGCAGAGCAGACTAGAACAAATGGGAAGTATCAGAGTAAACGGAAAGTAGTATTAACATTTATGAAAACTTGCCTTCCTGTTTTTAGATGGCATATATATAGATACACACGTGCACACATGTACTCACACACTTCTGCCCACACGCAGACATGAGAGGCTCCCGAGAACACAGACCTCGGAAGTGTTAGAGGTAGGAAGAGGCCTGCAGAGGGTCAGGCAGCACCCCTTTAATTTATAAAGAGGAAAAAGGCTTCGTGAGCGAAAGCGACTGGTGTAAAGCCCATGGTGGGAAAGAATGGGCCAGGACACACTGCATCCGGGGCTGCTTCCAGCACACCATTCTGCTATTTGTTTTTAACTCCTGGAGTCCCTGTCCTGGTGGACTCTCTGCCCTCCTCCTGTTCTCAGTGTGGCCGCCCTTGGCTGCCTTATTTGAAAGGCCAATTTCCCACCCCCACATTCCCGGTCTCCGTTCCCTGATTGGTTTTTCCTCTGTAGCTGTGTCGCCATCTGACCCACGGCATTTCATTGTTTGTTATCTGCTTCCCCAGAAGAGCACAAATTTCACTGGAACAAGATCGCACCTTGCTTAGTTCACTGCAGAAACCTCCTGTTCTAGGACAGTGGTGATGCCTGGGTTTATTATGCTAAACAAATGTTAAATGAATGGATGAGCAAATGGAGCCTGGCAAGAAGAATGTCTCGTTGTAAGTCACAGCCAAACAAATCCGAAGGGCGTCATCTCTCACGTACATACTTAAGTTCTTCGTGAGCCATGTCAGACCCAAGTGGAAAAGGGTGTGGTACGCCAGCTGATTGGACCTGACAAGACTCTGTCTTCCTCTGCAAGCACTGTTGGCAGCTGCTGACCAGCTGGTGAGTGAGGGATGGGCTTGGAAAATAGCTCAGACACAAGCCCTGCTCCACCTGCTCCTGCTCCAGGTGACTGGTGTCATGAGTTTTCTCTGGTCTTTGTCAAATAAAACAAACATGAATTTCACCTCATACTCTATGCGAATGTGCCTAGTGTGTATATGGGTAAAATAGTGTGTGTGTGTGTGTGTGTGTGTGTGTGTGTGTGTGTGTGCGCTCTTTCCATAAGCCCACAGCACACCTGGGACAGACCAGTTGATAACCCGAGGTGGCACTCAGGTTGAAATACATTTGAACCATGAAATTCAGAAAATGCAGGTTAGAAGACCAGTGTGTGCCCATCACTTGGGTGACATACACAGCCTTCTCTCCTTCTTAGCAGCTCAGTCCTGTGGAAACTTTAAAAACCCTCACACTTTAGAATGCTATTCTTTGTCAATCTCCTGTCCTTTGCGGGGCTGGAATTGGTTTACAGCAATCACTTTTAGATGAAAGAATCATAGGCGTGATTTATCTGAACTTTGAAATTGGAGGTTTTAGACTCTAGGCCAGTATGCACCAAATCATTCTCCTCCATCTGCTGAATCTAATCTGTTTGTCAGAAATGCAGAGTTGTGACCTGGTACACTCTAGACCTGCCCTGGAACCTGGTGGTGCTGTCCAAGAAGAGGCCCTTTCCTGACACGGTCTCCAGGGCAGTGACAGCCACACCAGCTTGGGAACACTTGGCCTATGGTAAACCCTAGCATGAGGCAGCTCTTGTTTCTGGAGTGCAGATCAGATACCTTTGGCTCAGAATTCAGTTCAGGGTCTAGGCCCCCTCCCCCCTTGCTTTCTCTACCTTAAAAGTGATGGGGCTGTGTTTCTTGTGGACAGAGGAGAAGCAGGCTTTCCTCTGTTTTTGGCAAAGCAGAGCTGCCTGCACTTGTTAGGGTGCCCATTCCCCTCCATACTGTGTTCTGCCCTGATCCTAGTTTCCATGCATGTTAGGATTTGATCTGTTTTTGTTGGGCTCATGATGCTGTTGCTTTAAAGCAGCCATATGGTTGAGTCCTCAGGTACTAGAGTCACCTGCCTGGGCTCGGCCCGCAGCTCTGCTACTCACAAAGTTGCTTCGTGCAGAGTATTGAACCTCTATGTGCCTCAATTTCTTAATCTGAAAATAGAGCTGATAACCACAGTGTCAACTTCCTGAAGCTGTTTTGAGGATTAGAGAGATAAACGCATGTCAGATACTGAGCGGCAGGTTTTGGAGCACAGTAATGCTTCACGTGTTGGTCCTATTATATTATTATTGCATTCTGCGGTGGCCTCCAGCTCTCTGATCTAAATAGAGGGAAAATGTCTCCCTCTCCCTGCTCCTGGCAGGATCCCCATGTGCTGGAGGCCACCTTTTTGACTGAACTACCTCTGTCCTCCACTGGGACTATGCTAGGGCCTCACCCCTCTGCGGCCTGTGCTAACACCACGGGTGTATTTACAGCAGATTTTACAGTGATTTTCATGTCACTTTTTTTTTTTTTCTGTAGCCTGGGTCCTGCTTGTCCCAATTTTCTAAAGACAGTGGATGCTGTTTCCTGTCCGGCTGCTCCTTCTTTCTGCTTTTACCAGTTGCCCATGAAGGGATGCGCTGCTTAGTTTTGATTAAGAGAGCAGCTTCCTTGCTCTGGAGAAATTACCAGTGCAGGTGGAGGCTTCATGCAGTCAGGCTGCATGCTGCTTTGAATGGCCTTTGAAAATGTCCGGAGAGTCACCTCCCTTTCCCCCTAAACCTGGTGGAGGTCGTTGCTGTGAGGATTCTGTCACGGTGCAGAAATGCGGGGTCCGCCTGGCTACTGTTTCACAGCGACAGCCCCTCGCCTGCAGGCGCTGTCCAGACTCTGTATTGAAACGTCAGTAATGGTGAATCAAGCAGAGACAATGGCAGCTACTTATTCAAAATAGGATTCGGGCCCTAGAAATTAACCACAGATGACACTAGTCTGGAGAGCTGCTTTGGAGCGAAGCACTTCTGGGCCTACATTAACAAATTAGACAGCCACAGTGTCTGCTTGGATCACATGGCCATCTAGGTTTTTTTTTTTTTTTTTTTTTTTTTTTTTTGATGATTTCATAGAAGAAAGATTAATTTACATTTGCAGATCTTCAAGGTCTGAGAAAGTGGCCCTATCAAGGAAGGGTGGCGCATTTTAGACAATGTACTCTTGAGTAATATAACTGTAAGCAAATTTTTATCAAATGGCCATTGTGGAGAGGAGGGCTGGTACATTCACCATGGCCTTTCCCATGTGGCCAGTTTCCCAAGCTTTTTCTTTCTTTCTTTTTAAATATCTGAATCATTCCTCATGCGTGAAGACAGCTCCTTAGTAGATGTATCACAGTGGCTGTGTGGGTAGCTGCTGCCCGTGTGCTGCCCTGTCCCCAGTGCTGAACGTACCTCAGGGTCTCTCATTTCCGCGGGTCTTATAGTTTCCATGGCAAGGGCTTCCTGTCCTGACGGGTGAGCCTGCTGCCCGCCAGCAGCTCAGAGGACTCCTGTTTCCCACTACCTCAGCCAAGTACATGTCAGCTTATACGACTTTACCATATGTAGTCATAAAGAAGGTGACAGCCTTCAAAAAGAATGATGACAGTAATGGATTCTAATATATCGAATAATGTTTCTGAGAAATTCACATTCCATAGTGATATTTCAAAAGAGAATGGGAGGCAGATAAAGCAAACCTCATTTTTACAGAACCATTGGCTAGTAAATGTGAAGGAAGGATAGAAGTAACTCAGAATGTCCTACCACGGCTCACTTAGAAATGGCAAAGCGAATGTTAGTTCTTCAGTAATGAGGTCTGGCAGTCAACACCGTATGCAAGAGACAGCGAGACATGAGGTACTTGCAGGAGGCAGAGAGAGAAACAGGGCATGGTCGTACCCCAGCAGGATTCTTGCGGGACATCTGACCTGAGTCTAGACACAGCTGTGCCATCATATGAATCCAGACCACTTCCCTGAGCGCCTCAGAGGATTCAGTGTCCACCAGAATAGTGGAAAGGGACGGCAAGGGGGTGGGGGCTTGCGGGGTGAGCTTCCGAGAATGAAGTCCCGAAACTGTAAAAATGTGGTGCAGAAACTTCGTTCAGCTACTATGTTTTAAAAAAAAAAATCCATGAAAGACACTTATTTAAACATAGACTTAAGGCCAAAAATCACTATATTCTTGCTGATTTTCTTGGGTGCAATGTCCCTATGAGTGGGGAGATACATGCTAAATGTCACACTATCTGTAAACTTCTCTTGGGTATTCTGGCAGAAGGGCAGTATGTGTACTCTCATATGTAGATGGACTAGTGTAGTCCACTGTTAGGAAGTCTCGGTGAATTTAGGTTAGGTGCATAGACATGTTTATTGCACTGTTTTTTCTAGTTGTCAGTGGAAAGGCACATGCGAAATCATTTGTCAGTTAAAAATTTTTAAATAAAAAGTATTTAAGGCTGGGAATGTGGTTAAGTGGTAGAGTATTTGCCTAGTAAGTGCAAAGACCTAGCTTTAATCCTCAGTCCTTCAAAAAATAAATTAAAAAATTAAAAGCAGACAATGAGATACAGAATTTTCAGAATGGCCTAACACAATGGACTTGCTCCAGGTTGCATGAATTTTAGCTTCTGTTGCATCTTTATCTTTCCATTCTGTTTGTCTGCCTTGCTTAGTGGTTTTTTCCTAAGTGTATCTAATCTCTCGTTCAGTATTCTTTGCAGAGTTGGCTTGGTGATCTGAAGTTCTTCAGCTGTTCATTGTCATGGAAGTATCATACTTCTCCATACATTCTGAAGGAAAGTTTTTCAGGGTACACCAGTCTAGGTTGGAAATCATTTTCCTTTAGGATCTGAAATACTTCACTCCATGCTCTTCTTGACTTCATTGTTTGTGTTGAGAAGTCTGCTGTGATTTGATAGGTTTTCCTTTACAGGTGATCTGTCTTTTATCTCTAATAGCTTTTAATATTATGTTCTTATGTGGGATTTCTGGAATGGTAATTATGATATGTCTGGTTGTAGTTTTATTTTGGTTATGGCTATTTGGGGTTCTATATGCTTCACTAATCCGAATGTCAGTTTCCATTCTCATGTGTGGGAAATTTTCAGTTACTACTTCTATAAATAGCCTCTTAATATCATTTGTGTCATCCCCTTCTTTTTCATTTATCCCTATCAATGTTATGTTGTTTTTGTTTGCATCATCTTGCAGCTGTTAAATTGTTATTTCTTGATTCCTTGTTATTTTTAAAAGATCTTTACTTTCCTCTTTACTAGCTGCAATCTTGTCTTTGAGGTCTGAAATTCTATCTTCACTTTCATTGAGGTGGTTTTGACAACTTTCAGTGGAATTTTTTATTTCTTGTATATCTCTTTGAATCTGCTTCATGTATTCTATTTGTTTCTTATATTGTTCATCCAGGGATTCTTTCTGTTTTGTTACTCTAATTTTTTAACTTTGTATTCTTTAGATGTGTTCAGCATCTCTTTCATTACTTTTATAATTTCTTCTTTTACCTGGGAGATTATTTCTAGTTTGAATTCCTTTAAAGCTTCCTGGTGTTGCTTCTTTATTTCAGTTTCTATTACTTCAGATATTTCAGGTGTATGGCATATATTTTCTTCTATGTATATAGCTCCTAGGATTTCATGGGATGGGCTGGAGGTTTGAGATTGCATTTTGAACTTTCCTTTTGACATTTTCCTATATATCTATGTTTTAAGTGTTGTTCCAAGGCTTCCCCTGGGCATGTTGGAAACTGTCTCCTATGCCCTCGGCTCCTGGGACTGAATGGAGGTTGCTGAGCGTGGTCCAGTCAGGCCCTCAGGCCCTCCCGTGCCACCTCCAGTGTTCCAGAAAGCTGGGCGGGCACGTAACCACTGTGGATGATGGTCCAAAGCTCTCCCGGGCAAGGACCAACGTGCTGGAACTCACTTCATGTGTTCTCAACTCCCCTGATTGAAGAAGGTTGCTGGGTATAATCTAGTCGGGCCACAAAACCCCCTAAATCTAGTCTAGTGTGGCTGGAAGCTGGGCAGGTCCTTAACCACTGGGAGCGATGAGTTTAAGCTCTCCTGGGGCTCAGGATGGTGAGCAGGAGCTCATCTCCTCCAGGAGCATAGTTCCCTCTGAATTTTAGCTTTTAATTGTGGTTCACTGTGATAATTGCATAAGTGTATAGTGGACACTATGTGATTAAATTGGAATATAGAGGCACATATAATCCTGGTGAATGAACAAACACAGAGACATATCAAGGGGGCCTGATTTGACCAAGGCTGCTCAGCTGGTGAGAAGAATCAGGGCTGAATCAGAGGCTTCTGTCTCCACGCCCAGCTGTCTCTCGGTACTGCCAGTAGCCATGTCAGGGTTTGCTGGACACCGTTTCTCCAAAGGGTCTTAGAAAAGTAATTGTCATGGCAATTCTGTCTTTGTGGAGTGCAGAGAGGAGTCAAGGTTGTCCTTTGTAGACTGGTCTGGCCAGTCATGCATTTCAAGGGTGTGGCAGTAAGCGCTCACTTAGGAAGTGCATTTTAAGGTGGCCTCTTAAGGAGATTTAATGAAAAGCTAAAGTGGCTATAAAGGGTCCTAAGAGCATAATGCATAGTTTTGGCAGTAGCCCCACTGAGCTTCTCCTGCATCAAGTGAAGTGTTTTGTTTTCACTAAATGAACTCACAGTTTGTAAAGGTTTTGGTAGAGGGAGGGCAGGACAGGCTCTGTTAAAAGTGAAATTTCGAACACTGCTAATAAAGAAAAAAGAGGGCTTGTTTTTGCTAGTTCCTCTCTATGGCACTGCTCTTTATTCAGTGGGGTGCTCCCCACGACCCTTCACTCACAGAAGGGCACATTTAGCCAAGAACTGCACCAGGCAAATGAGGGAGGGGCCTGGAGTGAGGAGGGGCAGCAGCCAGGTGGCCCACAGGCTCCCCGGGAGGGGAGGATGGGGTCCTGACACCCTGAGGTCGGGACATGCATGATTCCCCTTCAGATCATCTCTAGCAGGAGGTGCCAACCCTGGGGCTGTTATGTATATACTGGAAATGTGATGTGTGAGAAAACTTCTTTGATTTCTCCTGGAGACTGATGGTGGTCCTGTCTTGTGAGCTCATAGCCCTCAAGTCTCCACCTTTCATTCCATTCCCCTCTCAGTACATTTATCTGGGAAGAACACCTGTGGGGTCCTGCTTATTTTAGATTTAGGTCAGAATTGACGGAAGTCTTGCATATTTTGTTCTTTGAATAAGGGCTACCCTAGTGGGTAGTGTCTTCTTATTGCTTGAGTTTCCTCCAAGCCTTGTCCCATCTAGCTTGTCATCAAGGCCCTCCACCTTAGGCAGGAAGTTTACTCCCAGAAGGCTCTCACCCTGCCTCCCTCCTGCAGCTGCGTGAGTGCTTACACTGTTTCCCGCCCGGACCTCTTGCTTCCCTTTTCTGGTTTGTGGCACCACCTAATGATTAAGAACGTGTCACTGGGGCCAGATGACCTGCTTCCAAATCTTGGCCATGGGTAAATGCTTATCCTCTTGTTGCTTTGGTTTCCTTATTTAAATTAAGGCTAGAGCCCTCACCACATAAGGTTGTTGTGAGACTTCAGTGAGCTCTTTGAACAATGCTGGCCTTATGTAAATACTAGCGGCTCTCATCAAATTTAGTGCTACTGACTTAGTGAGGTCCAGATCAAGCCTCAGCTCTGCAATGCAGCCACTTCTGACTTCTCCTGCCCAGGCAGATGCTCTGAGATCTTATTTCTATGTAGTGCACACTCTACAACTGTCTACTGGTTTGTATCTCTCACTATTTCATGTCTACTGTGCCCATTGAGAGTATGAGCTCCTGGAGGAAAAGAAGGTTAGTGTTCATCTGTTATGATTTCAGTAAACACCTAGCAATACTGAGGTTCAGGTCATGTGGTAGCCCCTCTCTCAGAGTCAGTGCTGTGAATACCCCTAGAGGACATAGGGACACTGTATGAATCTCATATGCAATAATCAGCCGGAAATACTTTATAAGCATCTGGCAGAACATGGTGTTTGGAGAAAGAGAAAGGAACAGACTGCAGCAAAGAATTTGAGGGATCTACAGAGTCTCCTTCCTAGGGTTTAAGAGTTGCTAGTAGAGGACTGGAGTTATTTTGAAATAATTTTTTTGTTGCGGCTGAATATTCTTTTAATTGCACAAGAGTCTGGGCTATGTTGGTCACAGCTTTGTAACATGAAAATTACACATGTAAAACTATATTGATGCAAAAAATAGTGTACACATGCAGTGACCCATTGATACCCAAGTTTTAGGAAGCACTGATATAAAAGAGAACCTTCTAGAAGGTTTCTTCCCTTGCTTTACGTGTATGACTTCATTTTGGTCACACTAATCCACGTGCTCCCTTTTTTCCCTTTAGGGCTGATCTCCTTTACTCTCTCATCACAATCCTACCCTGAGATGCAACCAGAACAGAAGGGATGAGAGGGAGGTGGAGAGCAGAATGGGTTATGGTCACTGGGCTTCAGATCTAAGGAAACAAGACACAGTGCTCAGAAGGCAGAATCTGAATGGTGGGCAAGGGAGGGCACTGAGGGCATCTTATGTGAAGACAGATGGCAGGGATTCCAGAGGGAAGTCAGGCAGGGACACCACAAAGAGATAAGTCCAGTGCCTCTCAGCCTCTGCTATACTGTCAATCATGTGGGACCCTGGGAAAGTGCAGATTTTGAGTCAGTGAGGCCGGGGTGTGTCTGAGCGTCTGCATTCCTCCTCAGCTCTCAGAAGATGCTGAAGACGCTGTTCATGCACCATGCTTGCAACATTAAGTCCTAAGGAACACCCAAAAGGATTGGGGTCTCTGAGTCTGGTGACTCAAGACAGGGCTGTCAAAATGACATTAAGTATCAGGGGATAGAAGGAAAGGCCATAGATAGGGTTGTCTCAGAGGGACCCAAGAGAAAGGTGAAAAATCAGAGAAAGAGGGCAAAGCCTACTGATGAACTGATCTACCTACTTGGAAAATATCCTCCCAGTCTTCAGTTGAAATCTTAAATGTTTCTATGCTCTCTTTTAAGGAGACAGCCACTCCTCTCTAGCAGTTTTCATAGCCTCAGAGTGCTCCAAAACACAGCGAGGTTTCACCAGTTGGAAATTCAGTACTAAAAAGTCTCCAGACCCATTTGATTTATTTCAAACTGCATTAGTTGGCTAGTTGTTAGGTGAATACATGGCTCTGGTGCTACTGCACAGAGCTCCTTCCATCCTTGGTGTTTTAGGGTAAGAAGAGCAATGCCAGTGAGCAAAGAACATGATGCCTGTTCTCCTCAAGCTAGAAGTGAAAAAAACAGGAGGTAGCCACAGAAAGAGAATTCGGGAGTCTACTCACAGTGTGATGGATTCATTACTCATCCCTTGAAAAGCATTTCCTGGTATGGTGGTTATGCGTAAGTTATCACAAATTTCCCTTGAGGAAAGAAATTAGAAATATTTACTTTCCAAATTTTAGCTGCGAATAGGAAACTGTGATGCATAGCAATCATCCTGGTACTTACAGAATGAAATTAAATTCAGATGAGAAGATCTTCGTGACATCTGGAAACGTTCGGAGGCCTGTGTTACAGATGCTCCTGTGATTTGGGGCAGAGAGGTGACATGGGCAGAGTTGGTAAAAGTGACTGTTATAAAGATGTAAAAATAAAAAGGAGTAAAAAGGCATTTTGCAAACAGTATTTTCACATTAAATTTAAAAATATCGAGTTTGGCTTTATCAATAACACTTTTAGCTAATGGAGACTCAGCATTTTACAGCCTAAGTACTGTGGAGAAGTTGCTCTACTGCTTCTTATTTAGAGACTGAGGGTCTAGGACCAAGCTTGCAGGTCTCTTCTGTTTGAATTTCCAGCCTGTCTTTTCCTAGTTACACAACTACATACTTCCTACTATACTGTATTGTACTCCATTCTCCCTGGGAATTAGTTTATCACTCTTCATAGTTTTGGGAAACACCCCTCTCCTTTGGAGTAGGTTTTAACTCAGACACTTCAGAAAGACCAATCTCATTCAAGAAATCTGCTTCTGTCGTTATGAACTATCTTCCTTTATTAGCTACTTTGCAATTCACAAAGTTCTTATATCTCATTGAAACCACTGCGCATTCCTTTGGTGCTTGGAATTACTTAAGGCTCTTTTCTTCCTGCCTTTTTTTTTTTTTTTTAACAGCGTGTATATATATCCCCATGACCCCTGGAGGGTGGTGGACACAGAACAGCTTGTTTCGAAAGTGTCCAGTGTTAGAGTTGCCCAGGGAACATGAGCAGAAGGCCCAGGAGCAAGGCTGCATGTGGACCTCCAGAGAGGTGTCGCTTCCTGCTCCCTCTGTTTTACTTTTTTTTTTCCCTTGTGGCATCGAAGGGTTGGACATTCCATCTTATGGGGAGTTGGTGAAATTTAATTTATCAGAAAGAAGAGAAAGGGTATCTGTGTTAGGAGAATTTAAATTTTTCTTTGTGAGAGGAAGAGATGGAAAGAGAGAGGAGCCAGGCGAGGAGTAGGCGATGCAAAAGGGAATCATAACATAATGTGTGTTTGTACATGTATGAACTCCACATAAGGAGTGTAAACATTATGTTCTCAAATGTGCACTACTGAAAAGATAAACAGAATAAAAATTTCAAAAAAGAAGAGAATAAAATTTTCATTGTGAGTACAGATTCTCGACATATGAGAAGATCTACAGTAGCGAGTTTAAAGATGGCATCAGATTTCAGGAACTCTGTAGTCCCACTGGCAAGGCCCGCTGCTGCTGGGCTGCAGGGGCGCCCAGCTCCTCATGGGACCCAGTAGACTTGGTGAGATGTAATGGGAAATGCAAAATAATGATTTACTTTACACTGGCACAGTGCTTACCTCAGGCAGTGCTTTAAAGCTTTTCACTTGATGAATGAATGAATAAATGAGATAAAGAGATCGAACTGCCCCTTCCGCTTCCAGCTCCCATCCACTTACCTCAGATCCTGACTTAAACTCTTGGACGTGTTGTCATCACCTTGCCCCACCCACCCCATTGTTAATTTTGAAAATCACCACAGAGTATAATGGTCCCAGGCGTTTAGGACAGAAACAATATTGGGAACCACTAATTGCTATAATGCGTATGCAAAAGCTCCCAGAAGGGTGGTTGACAAGAAATACAGATTAAATCAGAAGAATAGGACATGTAAAAATATGCTGACTGTATGGTTTAAAACATTCTTCTCAACTTTTTGATTGCTCTGACTTTTCATCCGATGTCTCCCCCCTCCCCCAAGTGCTTATAAAGGACGATTCCTCACAGGTATTTTAACCGGGGGAGATGTGTAAATGCACCAGGCCCAATGTACACCAGGTTTTTGGTATTCTGGATCAGTCTGTGAAGAGAGAAGGGAAAACAGATAGCAGTTTAATCAGGGGAGTATTGTCTGACATGCATGAGACTGTGGTCACCAGAGATTGCTGGCGGAAAATGCCATCAACAAAATCAAGGCAATTTCACATGCAGAAGAGGAGCTGGAAATGGCTTGGTGAAGGCTCTTTGGCTATTTCTTGGAAACTGCTCAAACACTCTGCAGAGGCAGGTGGAGGCAACCTAGCTAGAAATTTGTCTCTGCACACCCAACCCCAAACCTCCCTTCCAGATAACACCACCGCCCAGGGTTCCTGGCTGGGTATATCCTACTTCACTACGGAGACAGTGGGAGAGTCTCTTCTCAGCAGAGGAGCATATTGGCTTCTCTTCTTGCAGGCCAACTAGTCTTCTCTGTATAGAACTGGCAACCGCACTGAGCAGTTATTGGTGGGGTATCCAGTCAGTGGAACAGCACAGGGTAGAGGCCATCGGTTTTGAGTTCTATTTTCAGCCTGCAGATAATTTGCTATGTGATATACCCAGCTTCCCAACTTCCTGGAACGAGTGTTCCCTTCTGTAAAGTTTGAATACAGTAATATAATGAAGCTGGGCATGATGGTGCACACCTATAACCTCAGCAATCTGGGAGGCTGAGGCAAGAAGATTATAAATTCAAGCTCAGCCTGGGGAATTTAGTGACAAGACCCTATTTCAAAATTTTTTAAAAAAGGACTCAAGATATGACTCAGTGTCAAGGACCCGAGTTCAATTCTTGACACAGTAAAATACATATATCTAAATAAATAAATAAATGTGTATACTTCCTGTCCCATAGGTGTTGGGTCATAAAAGGAGCTGAGATCATTCAAGGTCAGCTCTCTGCAGAGTGACCAGGCAGCCACATCAGCACAATGGTGCCCACCCCTTCTCCAGGCTGCCAGTGACGCTGACCCTTTAGTCATAGCCATAGTTGTTAACCCTGTCCACTTTGGATTCAGTAAAAAAGGACACAAATACCAGGGGATTTCTTAACCAGGCACCCACCACCAACAAGGACATATAATTACTCTTGTTCTATAGAAAAAAATGCAGTGTGTTGGTTATGAATGTGAACCCTGGGGCCAGCTTGGTTTTATGTCCTGATTCTCCGGTCATCTGACCTTGAAGATATCACACAATGCCCTCTGTGACTCAGTTTCCTTACAGCGTGTTTTTGAGGAATACTTATGGGTGTCTAGTCTATAGTAGGCCTTAGCTGGTGGATAATGATTATTATTATGACAGTTGAAGTCAGGAGGTTGAGTAATTCACCTTTAGTTTCATAACTGCAAGGTACTAGAACGTGAGTGTGACCCAACTTTTCTGACTCCAGGTCCAGTGCTCACCACAAGTTCCTGTTTCTACTTATAAGATGAAAATCGACATCTAATTCTTCCAATGTGAGTGCTATTTCATGGCAATATCTCTCAGTAAATGGAGTCAAGGAATCACTGGCCATACAGGGCATTACGTAGGTGAGATGAAGGGACTGTACTTCTTAAAGACCTTATGGAGCCTGATCTTACACTCATTTATTCTGCATTTAGCACCTGCATGTCCCAGACACTGTTCTAGATGCTGGTTACAGCTGTGAATGAAGCCATACAAACCTGTGAGGAGCTACCATTCAGGGCTGCTTTCGGGAATCCATAAACTTCCTGTTTAAAATGTTTAATTTTCTTTCTGTTGGTAAATGCTGCTTTGCATCCCACGAAATGTTATAATTAGCTTCCCTGGTGGTTCTCAATATGAAACTGTGTTTCCACAATACCTGGAAAGTCTGTTTCCATGTCTGCGATGGTGCTGTTGTCTCCAATTGCAGTGAGCTCTGCGCACAATTCTGCTTCGCAGCCAAGTTCAGACTATACCTTTTGCTCTTAAATACCCATTGCTTAGGATTTTACTGCAATTGGTGAGTTAGTCTCACCTTCCTAGCTTCATTGCTATGTCCTGGTGGACATGCATACTTTACCTCCTCTGTATTCCAATAGCATTTGGTCTGGAACTGGAAGGCAGTTACTCAAATACTCATCAATTAATTGTTTCTTTTAAATAATTACTCTTGGACCACTCACAGGGGTATAGTGAAAGTCATATGGGCTTTGAAGGAAGATAACCTTGGGGTTGATCTCAGTTCTGCTGGAGTCTGAAGTGTCACAGGTCAAACTTCAGCCCCTTTTCTAGCTCCATTCCTTCCCCTGGTAACTAGTCTACTCTGCAGAGTAGCCGTGGGGATTACTGGCAAAACCTAGGGAAATGCCAAGCCAGGAGAGTTCAAGTGATATGTGATACTGACATGATTCTCTCCTCCCTCTTTAATTCTGCTCAGCAGGAGAGTTTGAGGGCGCTTCCTGTGGGTCAGATTGGAACCATGAGGGGCAGATGTGGAATTTACTAACTCTGGCACTAACTTGTGGGATGCCAGGCAAGCCAGTTAGCTTCTCTGGGCCACAGGCTCATTATCTGAAAGTGGCAATGAGCCAGTCTTTTTCTGACCTTTTATTGAAAGAAGGGGAGATGGTACTCTGGAAAAAGATTCCTTGTCTGTCATTTCTAGAACATCATGGTAACACTATCAGCAATAGAAGTCTAATACACACAGGATCCGCATAGGGATTTTCATGGTGGGTATCCAAGCAGCATTACAGAAAGGACTATGCCAGAACAGCCCCCAGCCAACCAATTCCCCATCTCTAAGCTCCATTCCAAATTTTCCAACTACCCTGAGTACTCTGTTCCTCCCCTCCATAAGGCAGGAGCTACTTGCCAGGACTTCACCATGTCAATTTTAATTTCCAGCATTGTGTTGTGATGTTTCAGAGTTTATACAGCTCCCAGGGAGAACCAGTTGTCACCATGGCAACCTTCAGGCCACTGGAGTGAGAGAAATTAGTGCCTGCCCAGACCTAGTAATTGCTGTAGTCTTTTCCTCTTGGGTTCCTAGTAGTGGATGCTTGAACACAAATACCAAGTGGGCCCCAGCCAGCGGTGGTAATAGTGTACAGCCATAACTATCTGTTCGCTGATGCTTACATTTCAGACAAATTGAGGAGGCTGTCAAAGGCATTAGCTTCTATCCTTTCCAGGGAATCACTCTGAGAGATTTCACTAGGGGGAGGAGGGAAAGAAAAAAGAAACATGAAAGAAATGACCATGTTTGCAGAATCATGAGCTATGTGTGTGACCCAACAACTAGGGACTCCATTGTGTCCCTCTGAAAAAGAACAGAATGTGCAAACTGTCTTTACATCAGAAAGTGCCAACCTCTCCCTTTAGGAACACTGATTGGTGTCTGTAACCCTCGTAAGGTTGGAACGCATGTCTCAGTAACCCCTCTTGATGTGACACACGTTTCTCTTGTTTATTAGACTCTCAGAATCATAGACTGTTAGAAGTGGATGGGCCCTCTGAGAAAACCTAGTCAGACTCCTCTGTTTTATAGCTCTAGAAATCAAAGACTTGAGAAGAGAAACAAGTAGTGTTTACACAAAGGTTCAGGACTAGACTTGGGATCTCTGGGGTCAAATTCCATTACTCTAAAGAAGCTTTAATTTACTTAGATTGTTTGTTTTTTTGAGATAGGCTCTCACTATGTAGGGCAGGCTGGGCTTGCGTTTGCTTAGGTAGCCTGGGCTGGCCTCAGACTCAAGGTGATCCTCTTACTTCACCTTCCCAAGTGCTGGGATTATAGGCCTGTACCACCATGCCCAGTGAGGGAGGCTCAATTTGGGCTGAACTAATCTTTTCCTATCTTTTAACCCTTGGTTTCCCAAAACTCTCTTCTGAGGCTATTTTGTAGAAGGTGTGACAGGTGATTAACTCCTGTATATATGCATCCATCACAGATTATAATTATTCTCAACTATTTTTCTCAAAACTCTGAGTAAGTTGAGGACAACAAATATTTTCTATTTCATTCTGAATTCCTGGTGGCTTCATACACCAACTAGGGAATGCATGAATGGACTAATGATTAAATTGTGTGTTTAAAAAGACAAAGGAGCCGTGTATAGGAGCCTAAGAACCTCAGAGTAAACATTATACAACACAACATGAGCTAAGATCAATATCAACAAGACTAAAAAAACAAGATAGGGGAATTAAAGGAGGAAAGAAAGGGGAGGGACAGGGAGGGGATTAAAAAAGAAGCCAATTGTAATATGTACTTGTAAGCACTCCCCAAGATGATTGTAAACTACATGGATTGCAGAAATGTACTAATTAAGAAATTTAAAAAAATTTTAAAAAATAATGAAAACCTGAGATCTTAAAAAAAGCAGTCTTGTCACGTATCATCCCCAAGCACGTTGGTAATGTCAGTGTGACTTTAAAATACCAACATAAGTTACCATTTGCTACCAGCTGAGAAAGAAGTCTCAAAATCACAAATTGTACATTTATGTGTTTTCAAGGTTAGCATTCACTGAAGGCTCCAGACGTGATGAGAGCTTTAGCCCACAGAAAGGCAAGACCTAAGGCAGTTAATGTCTTTTCTGAGCAGCACAGTAATGGATTGCTCCTGGGTTTGTTCATCTTCCTCCTAACTGCTTATTTAACTGTAGTTTTCCTTAGTGGGGAGTCTTAATGCATTAAAAGTTATCAAAACTCAACATTTAAACTTGAGAACAGGCAGAAGTGCTTGGGATAGGCTCAAACAAATCAACGTGTCTGTAATCTAGAGTGAATTTCCTATAAAGTGCAATATTCTTAAGCAGTTATTTTAAAAATATTCTCATTGTTTTCTGATACCTAAAGGAGAGAAGAGGTTCCCCAAGAAGCTAAGCTTGACCGTGAAGCATCTTAGGAGATACAAATCTGCTTTGAAAGCCCAGAGTGTTATTCAGTTTAGATGCAATGCTGCCACTGACTCCTTTGGTCCAGGCTAATGTTAAGGAGGATGCTGGGAAGTTCTCTTTCCGTCTATGGGATCTTCATCTATGGGATGAAGGCTTGAAATAGCATTTCACAAACGTGAGAACACACTGCATCACCAGGATGCTTCACTTCTGATAATTGCCTTTCATCAATACAGTTATAAATAGTGTTTTGCCATGCATTTGTTATACTTTAATACAAAGGTTATCTATCTTTTGATACACAGTAAACTTCCAACACATTTTCTTCTATGGGGAAGTTATCTAAAAATGTGACACATGGGAATAGTTGCTCTAGCAGAAGGAGAATTTTTATGATTGAAATCTATCGTCTTTTCTGTTTAAAAAGTATAACATCACTCATCAAAATGTATTCAGTTCTTTGAAGCAAGGTTAATTATTTGGATTTTAATGACTCTTGAAAAATCACACCTTTTCTTCAAAGGCCCCTAGATATTATGTGTATTATAAAAATAAAAATAGTCTGGTTTCCTAAGCACAATTTCTTTCCTGGAAAAATTATCCCTTTCAACTCTGTTTTCTTTTAGGAAAAAATTCATTATTTCAATTATGTATGTCTTTTGATATGCAGTATCTTACTTACATTTTCATGACCTCATTAAGTCCTTTGAAAGCTTGAGGTGGAATTACTTTGACAGGGAGATAGGTGAGTGATCTAGAAAAGGAAAAAGGGATGCTAAGTTTAAGGTTTGAGCCTGGGTACCTTTTAAATTCACGAATAAAGTGCATGTAAGTGTGTATGTGTGGGTGTGTGTGGATACAGAGCTAGCAGTGGGATGGATTCAGGTTGACAATTCTGGTATTAGCAAAGATAGAAGCCATGAATCATTTTTATCTTTATCAAAGAATATGTGATTTGGTGGTAAAGATCATGAATGTTAAAGTTAAACACCCATGGGATCAAATCCTCACTGCTACCTGGCTGTGTGACCCCGAGCATGTTATTTAAGCTGTCTGTTCCAGTTTCTATAACAATAAAATGGAATAATAATTTCTACTTCAGAGGAGTGTTGTGATGATTAATCAACATAAGTCAAGTAAAGGATAGAGCCTGACACCAACTAAATAGCAAGTAATTCTAGAGTGGTCCTCCGGGCTCGGTTGAGTGGATGGGCAAAAAGCTGTTTTGAATGGAATAGAGAAATTAGTGGTGAAAACATAGTTGGAAACTAAGCAGGAGGGAAAAGAGATGATTCAATAAAAGCGTGTTCCCAGGTGTGAGGGCGATTGGGCTGTGACATCCGTCACCCTATTGATTGCCAGCATTGATTGGACTGATCTGGCTGGCCAGGTGGGTGTCCCCTTCTTCCTTTGCTACGTGCCAGGTTGAGGAGGACTTGCTCTGATAGGGAAGGACAGTTTCTTTGGCCAAGGAATATTAATAGTTGCAGTCCCCTGCTAGAACCTTCAAAAAAGCCCTCAAAAGCCTGGTCCTAGCTTGACTTATACCATTTTCCTTGGACAATCTATTGAAATATGACCTCACCCTGGCCACTTCACTCCTATGATTGATTCGCATGGCCATCCCATGTCATTTGGTGCAATCTCTGTGACAGCATTTCCTCCAGGCACTCACATCCATAGGGACAATTTAGTATTCTTAAAATCGAAGTAAAAGCAGTATACAACATGAGAAGGAAAGTGATAATTAGTAATATCAAAGCTAGAACAGGATGATGTGGGACTGTTTAAGGAACCAACGTGGTTCAGATGATTCAGGAAAATTTCTGCAAGAGAAGAAAGAACATTCAACTGCTTATTGATGTTGTTCACAATGTTGCCCTAAGGACTGGCAGAGAGGAAGGGACTGGGAAGTGACTATTTGGGAAATGAGAACAGGGATGAGAGATGCTGACTTATTTTCCTGGTCTGTGGAGTGGGGACTGCCTTAGCTGGGAAGAAAGGTTTTCCCTATGATGAGGAGATTTTAATCAGTGTAAGAAGGGACTTGCTACCAGTGGAAGCTGCTGTGTGAGTCATGCACCACCACCTGTAACCTTATTTTATTTACTCAGCAATGAAGTGAATTAGGTATTTTCCTTGGGTAGCAGAAGAAATTGAGTCATAAAGAGATTAAGTAAATTGAGAAAGGTAACAACTGAGTAAACCAACCGCAAACATCCTTTCCACTGTGCATGTGCTTGGTAACCTGTTTTCTCCTGGTGAGCAGGGCTGTGGCCGGTGTTGTAACCTTGCTTCTCTTGAAAGGAAGCATTGTGCTCTCTCTGTTACTCTTACAAAGCAGCTCACCAGCACTTTCTGCCTTGCAGCTAATAGAGCTTCCATTTGAAAAAAGTGCTTTTGCTCAACACTTTCTCCGAAATGATACAATCCTAGAAGAAGTAATCCAGACTTGGTCCTCTGATTCAATTCCTGAGGGCAGTCCTACTGAGCACATAGCTCAACACCCAAAATTATTTAACAGGGGACCTGAGAAAAGCAGGGACAGAGGAGGGAGAAATCTTCTTGCAATGGTGTGTTTGCTTTCTATATTTCTTCTGGAATCATGTCCTCTTGGCTTACTGATTAAAAACACAGTTTTATTGCTCTCCACATTGCCAAACCAATAAATTTCCAGAAGAGAAAGCGGTATTCTACTGTACTCCATGCAACATCAATAAAACTGACAGCCAAATTCTGATTCCAGAATCTTTATTGCTGGGGATAATGCAGTGTAGAGCATATTTTGGAGAGTGTTTACATAAAAGCTTCTGCAGAACCCTTCACAGCTATTTATTCATGCAAATGGAGCCCAGAAGCTGGAGCCTTCCTGCAGGAGGCTGACTCTTCCAAATGGGAGTTTGCTGTGGCTCCCAGAGAGCCCTTTGGTACTGATTCGACCAGGGAAGTTGCCTGAGCGTTTGATTGATGTGGGATGAAAGATGAGGAGCACGGGTCAGGCAGAAAGGAAAGAAGTCGTAGATTATGCCCTGGCGTCCCCAGTGACTCCAGAAAAGCTCTGGTGCAAGATGAAAATTTGCAGTTGATGTTGACACTGCAGAGCAGGAGAGGCAGCAATAAGGAGAGAAAAAATAGAGCCTCCCCGCTTCAAAGGACACCCAGCAAGCTGCAGCAGGAGGCTTTGTGGGTGTGACTGGGCCAAGAAAGAGGCCTGGGACAGAGGGGGAAGAGGAAAAGGGTGAGCCAGGTGCCTTGTTTTTTATAACAGACATGCTCCTGGGGGACGCCATGGAGGATGTGACTGTGTGGACCCAACCAAACTCAGAACATTTTCATTATTGATTTATTTTCTTATTTCAAGATGTCATATTTTCATTTCTGACTCATTTTCAATTGGCAGCAGTTCCTAAGCATTCATGTGTCTGTTTTCCATATTTAAATCTGTCTGTTCATGGTGTGACCTGTGCTTTTTGTTTTTTAAAAATATAGCATTTAAAAAATATATATATATGCATATATATACATATTTTGTTTTGTTTTTTCCAGACAGAGTCTCACTATGTAGTTTAGGCTGGCCTTGAATTCACTATGTAGCTCAGGCTGGCCTCAAACTCATGGCAGTCTTTTTGCTTCAGCCCTTAGAGATCTGAGATTACACTCATGTGCCAACATGCCCAGCTATATTTTTATTTTTAATTGACATATTTATGTGCATCATTTCAATTCATGTATGCAATGTTTAATGATCAGATCATTGTAACTGCACCTTAGATATGTGTTATGGTTTGTGTTCAGATGTCCCCCCAAAGCCTCATGCAGTCATGGTGGCAGACATCCAGAATTCCTGATTAATTCATGGCCCAGTACTGGGATTACGGGTATGAGCGCTACGCTCATCCCAGGGTGGGTAGCCTACATACAATATAAGGGGCAGAAAAAGCCTTCTCTCCATGCGCCTCCTTTTTCACTCTCGCTGCCTTTGCTCTCCTTTGCTGCCATGAATGGTTGCCCTCTGTCATGCTATTCTGTCTTAGAGCCAGCTGATGGACTGAAATCTCCATAAACTGTGAGGTAAATAAACCTTTCCCTCCTAAATTCTGAGCATCAGGTATTTTGTCCCATCAACCAGAGAGAAAAGTAACCAAGATGGTATGTATCATTTCTTGGTATTGGGAATATTCAAAATCCTTTCCACTAACTATTTGGAAACAATTAATTGTTGTCAACCATAGTTAAACTACTGTGCTATAGAGCATTAAAAGTTATTCCTCTTATCCAACCATAATTTGTTAATAACCATTTGAGTTATTTCCGGTGAAGGTGCTCCCTTCTCTAATGGATGCCTGTATTATTCCTTTCATGATGCTATAAATTTCTAACAATGTGATCAGTGGTCTAAATAACCCTGCAATCCCATTCCTGTATAAATTCTGGAGAATTTCTTAAACTGGTACTTAAGGAGACCTGTGCAAAAATTTTCTTTCCAGCATTGTGGCACCAGGGGAATTGAGTGTCCATGACTGAGTGGAGAAGCAGGTAAAACGTAGACAGTGCATACCTGACTGAGGAGGTGTACCCTGGAGAACAAAAGCCATCTCAAGGCACTGACAGTATGAGTGGCTCTTGGAATCATGGCTGAAGGAAACAAGGGACAAATTATATATATAATGCATCCACACATGAAACTTTTAAAATAAAATATAAAACTGGGTGTGGTGCTGCATGCTTGTAACCCCATCTCTCTGAGTTCAAGGCCAAAAATAAACAAACAAATAAATCAGTAAATAAATAAATACAAACACAATGTCTATGGTAAGTCAAGATGAATAGATGTAAAAAAGGGAGATAAAATAGTTTGAACAGAGGACTTTGAAGGATCCAATGCGAATGTTACTTGAATGAAGAAATAGGATTAATTTAACCCCTATGTACCTAGAGACAAATGGAAAAGAATAAGTTTTACTATCTACTGAGTAGCTGAGTCCTTCCCTCCCTCTGTTCTTTATACTGTTAGTGTTCTTGAAGTTAGTTAGGCGTACATGTGTTCCAGAAACTTTGTGCACTTCGGGAACTCTGGTGGGACAGTCTAGTTAATATCTGACTAAAGTCAGAAGCCAGGAAAAAGTAGGGAAAAGTGGCCAAAAGCAAGGATAGTTCAGTGGCTCTGCTGTCTCCGTGTTGAAAAAAAAAAAAGAGAGAGCGAGAGAGAATGAAAGCTCTGCAAAAAGTAAGTAAAAATACTGAAAAGGCACTACCCTGTTTGCCTCCAGCAGAGGGTATCTGGCACTCCACACTGTGTGTGAGACAGCTGTCTCAGAAGACAGAGAACCAGGACTGCTTGGCCAGCGTGAGTTCCCCCTTGTAGGGTGGAAAGCGATTGCTTGCTGAGTGAGTAGCCTGTGAACTATTTATGAATATGGTCATAAAGTCATATAGTTACTTTTGTGTATTACACTTGCATAGTTCTTCACAGCCTTAAACTTAGATTTTTAAATGAACTGGTGCAACACAGGCAGCATCTGGATATGAGCGGACTCCATTTGCCAATGTGCCTTTACCTCGAAGGTGGAAGCAAGTACTAGATTGAATGACCAAGGCTGTCTTTTCTTCATGAGCTCTTGAACTCCATCTGCTCATTCGCGAGCTCCAGCTGCTGGTTCCCAGCCCTTTAATGTGCAGGTTGAAGCAGGAGCCATCTCTGCTCCTTAGGACTGGAACACAGTTGTTCATCCTCCTCTGGGGATCTTGGGATTG